TTTGGCCTATATTCAGGACGGTGAGCTGAATCGTTTATCGAGAATGACAGATATTGACGAGCTGAAAACTTCACCCAACCTCCTTTCCGTGGTAGAATCTTGGCTCCGTTCTGAAATCAAACTCGTGAAGAAAAAGAAGAAGCCTGTGGCACCATGGAAACCATCTCCATTCGATAACTCTCCTTTTAGATCATCAAGACATATGGCTTATTACCGATGATTGGTGATTACCAGTGAGATATATGAATGTGATTGGCATAATCTCAATATCTTAAGCCTTAAACTCTCACAAACCCTATCAAAAAAGTGAATTATGGACTATAAAAAAGTGAAAAACATTATGAGATTATTGATTCTTGAAGGATAATCCCAAGTAGCTTTCACTTCAAAGAAGGGCAAAGGCAATAAACAGTAAAGAACAATCACAGGATCTGCAAAACTTTTTTTTCTTCCTCTGTTTCTGCTTTCTTTATTTTAGTCTTTTTTTTTTTTTTTTTTTCCTCTTTTACTTATATTTTCCACATTGTAAAGTCGAATATACCAGAAATTTAATTAATACAAATCTTGGAATTCACATTTTGTTAATCCTACAGTATAATTTCATTGCCGACAAAATATATTAATTAGCAATGATTTTGATTACTTCCTTAAGCTAATGAAGATGTTGAGTAATTCACATTAACAAGAGTCTTTTGATTTTGAGCAAAGATAAGTTCAAATCACAATCTTTCAATTTAAAGACAGAAGAAGAAGGAGTGTCACAGTTATCTCTAAATAGACAGAAGAGGCGAAAGCAATTGAAATTTTTGTTATTTTCTTTGAACTAAAACCTAAAAAATAGATTCAACTTGTGTTGAAGTCCGGTTAGTTTACATATTGTATTGTAAATTTATTATCCAAGTTTCTATTATTTAAATTTTAAAAACTTAAAAACATTTTGAAAAATGAAAATTTCAAAAAAAAACTTGTAAATATAAAAAAATTAAAATCCGGAAAAAAAGAAAATTTTAAATTTTAAATAAAGAAACGTGTATGATAAATTTACATAATATTGCAAAACAAGTTGAATATTTGGAATCGCTAACGATCAACGACTAGGTCGAATGACGGGATCCAAAATCCGGTTAGTTCTCAATCGTATTGTAAATTTATTATCCAAGTTTCTATTATTTAAATTTTTAAAAACTTTAAAAGATTTTTTAAAAATGAAATTTTCAAAAAAAAACTTGTATATATGAAAAATTTAAAATCAGGAAAAAGAGAATTTAAAATTTTAAATAAAGATACTTGTATGATAAATTTACATAACAATGCAAAAACAAGTTGAATATTTGGAATCGCTAACGATCTATGACTAGGTCGAATGACGGGATCCAAAATCCAGTTAGTTCTCACATCGTATTGTAAATTTATTATCCAAGTTTCTATTATTTAGAATTTTAAAAACTTTAAAAGATTTTTTAAAAATGAAATTTTCAAAAAAAAACTTGTAAATATAAAAAAATTAAAATATGGAAAAAAAGAATTTAAAATTTTAAATAAAGAAACTTGTATGATAAATTTACATAATAATGCAAAAACAAGTTGAATATTTGGAATCGCTAATGATCAATGACTAGGTCGAATGACGGGATCTAAAATCCGGTAAGTTCTCACAACGTATTGTAAATTTATTATCCAAGTTTCTATTATTTAAAATTTTAAAAACTTTAAAAAAAATTTGAAAAATGAAATTTTCAAAAAAAAAACTTGTAAATATAAAAAATTTAAAATCCGGAAAAAGAGAATTTAAAATTTTAAATAAAGAAACTTGTATGATAAATTTACATAATAATGCTAAAACAAGTTGAATATTTGGAATCGCTAATGATCAATGACTAGGTCGAATGACGGGATCCAAAATCCGGTAAGTTCTCACATCGTATTGTAAATTTATTATCCAAGTTTCTATTATTTAATATTTTAAAAACTTTAAAAAATTTGAAAAATGAAATTTTCAAAAAAAAACTTGTAAATATAAAAATTTAAAATCCAGAAAAAGGAATTTAAAATTTTAAATAAAAAACTTGTATGATAAATTTACATAATAATACAAAAACAAGTTGAATATTTGGAATCGCTAACGATCAATGACTAGGTCGAATGACGGGATCCAAAATCCGGTTAGTTCTCACATTATATCGTAAATTTATTATCCAAGTTTCTATTATTTAAAATTTTAAAAACTTAAAAAAAAAATTTAAAAATGAAATTTAAACAAAAACCTGAATAAAAGCTTTTAAAAAAAATCAGTGAGAAAAAAAAAAAAACCCTTTAAAAGTATAAAAATTAATTTTCTAAATTAAAAAAGAAAATGGGCTTAAAATTAACCTGGCAATTGTTTGATGGGCCGGAATTGTTTATGTTGGGCCTCTAAGAGAGCAAATACGATCATCTCTAACCGTTGCCGGGAAGACGAATCCGCAATCTCCGACGATCCCACCACTTCCTCAATCTATCGCCGTCTCCGTCGCCGAAAAGAACCTCCAACATCATAACTCCCGAAGCCTTAAATTCTGGCGACATCGCCGACATGTAGCCTCTAACTCCTTCGAATCGTCTCTCTCTGTTTCTACGGTGAGATGTGGTCCCGTAGTGAGTGACATAGATCTTATCATCGCAGGCAAACAAATAAAGAATGTTCTCTGTCGTTTATATGAGACGTACGTGATGCTTGTGTGTGGTGTGATCTCTCGTCTTCTTCGTAGCTTTTTAAGTGAACAGAGAGAGCCGTTGTATATGTATGAGTCTTTCTTGGGCTTTGACTTCTGGAATGATTCTTTCTGAATCACAGCATCATCATCTCGAAGCAGACAGAAATCGAACATGAGAATGAGAAAAAATTATCAGAGAAATTGCGTCTTTACCTAGAGGAGATAGGAGACGCGAGACGCATGTATTTATAAACTTATTTGTTTGAGACTCAAGTTTCCTTTTTTCCTAAAGTTTCCTTTTTTCCTTTTCACTTAGGGTTTGTTCAAGTCAAGAGCAAACACCAACCTTAGGTTCGGTGATAATTTAGCCGTTATACACGGTTCGGGTACGCTTCTACTAATTTTTAGTTTAGATACTGATTGTATTTTTCTCTTTTTTTTTTTTAGTTAGGATTTTGATTTATTTGATAATTACTACTAAGAAGTTTGATTAGACTTGGTGGACGTATGTTTTGTCTCTTTTCTACTTTTATTCCTAGACTAAGTGGCTTACTCTTCTATATATTTTGCATTGCATATTTGCAGGTGAAACCTTCAAGAACAGGGCTAATTAATAAGAAGAAATAAAAAAATTGACCTCTTCATAAACATATCTATAAAGAACATGAGATATGAGACCCCAAAATAAACAAAACAAAAGAGAGAAAAACCAAAGAAAGTGACATATGTTCAAGATTTAACAATTATGTTGATATGTGGTCAGAGACGACTTCTTAGCGTTGTGATCTTACTATTTTCACAGACAAAAGAAGACCAGAGAGCAGGGCCGGTCCTCGGGTTTTGGTGGCCTAAAGCATATTTAAATAATATATTTTTTATATAAAAATTAATGTTAAAAATTTGTCATTTAAATACTAAAATATATATAAAAATTCAGTTTTGTTGAAGAAATTAAGAATATTATAAGACTTAGTAGCCAAATTATAATAAATAAATAACAATCTTCTCCCATTTCACAAAATAGAAAGAATAAAACACGTGGTAACCAGAAAAAAAAAAGAGAACCGACCAAAACAGAGGGAAAAAAAAAGAGAAACAAAAAGTATAGAAGTTAAGACTCGAACCCACCCACAGGTGACACAAAAATGGGGCAAATAACCAACAGACTAAAGGAAACTTCTCAGATATGTTGCCCTAACGTTTTACTTATATTTTGTGGCCCAAAGCAAATGCTTTGGCTGCCTTATGGGTGGGCCGGGCCTGCCAGAGAGAGACTTTATCCCCATCCTTCTTGTAGTTATCAAACAAAGAATCCATGAGCCCTACACGTTGCCTTGGTGTGCTCAGTGATCTCATCTTTTCCCTTGCAGACCCTGTCACACTCATGTAAGGCTGGAAACCATTGGAGCTTTGAAACCAGCTCTCATCTTCCAATAGACTCTGCTCCAAACGGCTGAAAGATCTCCTCGGGAAAGAAAATGGAGAGATCTTGTCCATCACCAGAGTCTTGTCGTCTCTGCAAAGTTCTAAGCTTTACTTTTGTAGGGACAAGCATTTCACTTGGAATGAGAAATGAGTTTATGGATTTTGCAGACTTGGATTTACCCCAATGTTCCAGCCGACAGCTTCGCATCCCCATATCCTTAGTGTACAATGACTCCAGAAGCATATGAGGATTTCTTCTCTCCTGCAAAACAACTTCTTGAGACCTCAAACCAAAACTAACTAGATATAAAAAGATCTTGAGAGAGGATTTACCCGATGAGAGCGGAAGTATTTCAACATACGATCGCGCTTGATCACACCTTCTTGCTTCCTCAACCATATGGCTTTTATGTCTTCATTTGTGAGAGTGCTACTGTCCCAACCATTTCACTTGAACTTCGAGTTACACATCGGATGATTTGATACCTGAAGAACCCCTCTGTTGACCTTCGAGTGGACTGTAGAGATTTATTTATGTAGTCATGACTAAGAAGAATAAAGACACCCGAGAGTTGTTCAGATTTTGTGTGTAGCTGCTATTTACACTTGTGCCCATTGAAGAATATAAAACAAAATGTACGTATGTTGTGATATATAACAAAGCTATTTTCTGTTTATGGCAAGTGAAGATTTTTTATTTCGATTGCTTCTTCAAACACTTGTTTTGTGCTTTGTGTAACCGGCCACCAGTCGTAATTTTCCACAGACGGTCGGTTTTTCTTAAACCGGGCGAATGGATCCGCATGATTTTAAGAAAAGACCGACGTCGTATTAAATAGAACAGATTAAGGACAAAAAAAAGGAAAGAAGAACCGACGTCCGAATGACGAAAATCTCCCTTAAACTTGTTAAATCTTAATCCTCCTTTGTTCGATTCCATTATCGGGGAGGAGAAGTTCCTACCGCCTTCACAACCGCCACTGATTCCAGATCTTCGTCTCCAATTAGGTTTGCAATTCTCTTCTCTTTCCGCTCTTTACTGCTGGTGAAACTTGTATTAGGAGCTTCTCTTTTCGCTCCTTTAACCAATTTCTGGGTCTGGATTGGGCAAATTACTCTTCTTAGGGTTTAGATGTTTATTGCACTTTAAGAATGGACGACTGATAATATTTTATCTTCGACAGAGATATGGCTTCTCATGGTAAGAGTAAGAGAGGTAGAGGTGGGAGTCAGAAGAAGCGGAGGGATGAATCCGAGTCTGAGTCCGAGTCTTACACTTCTGACTCGGATGGCTCTGATGATGTCTCGCCGCCCAGGAGTTCCAGGAGGAAGAAAGGCACCACCAGCAGTCGTCGGACTCGACGCCATAGCTCAAGTGATGATTCCAGTGACAGCGATGGTGGACGGAAGAGTAGGAAGAGATCTTCATCTCAGGATGTCTCAGAGGAAAAACTCAAGGAGTATATGTCTAAAAAAGCTCAGAAGAAGGTAAATTTTTTGTTTTATGTTACTTTCTTCCCTTGCATTTGTTGGAGCTGGTTGCTAACTTTATGCTACTTTTTGAATTCTTTCTAGGCATTACGTGCAGCAAAGAAACTGAAGACGCAGTCAGTGTCAGGCTACTCCAACGATTCAAACCCATTTGGGGATTCGAATCTCACCGAGACGTAAGTGAATCACTATTAAGAAACTGGTATATGATTATTGTTTCTAAGTTTTAATGGTGTCACTTTGATGATAGGATGTAGGAGGATTATCGAGTATATAGTTCATTCCAAGTTGTAACCAAGTTAGATGGGATTGATTATCAAGTTTTTTCTATTAGTACAAATTTTGAAAACTGGTAGTTAAAAGTTGGCTAAAATTGAATGTGTGTAATTGATTATACGGATGACACTTGTGAGTTACCTGGTTTTAACAATCTGTAGTTCTCATGGCGTGAAATTTTATTAATATCAGATTTGTGTGGCGGAAGAAGATTGAAAAAGATGTTCACCGTGGAGTACCGCTGGAAGAATTTTCCGTTAAAGCTGAGAAGAGAAGACACAGGGAAAGGATGGTATGTACAATAAGCATTACTGATTAAAAAAATTTCGATCTTTTAACTATTTGCTATTTTGTCTGGTGGGATGAGCTTTCCGGTTTATGTCTCAACTCTTAAGAACTTCGGTTAAATGCGCAGACAGAGGTTGAAAAGGTTAAGAAGAGGAGAGAAGAGAGAGCAGTGGAGAAAGCTCGACATGAGGAAGAAATGGTAAATTCTGGTATCTAGAAGGATGGTTGCGATTGAAATTCTTATTAGCCAGTTATCTCTCTAATTTGGTTGATGCTGTATAGCTATTGACTTAAATTGTTTTATTATCTGCAGGCATTATTAGCTAGAGAACGTGCTCGAGCTGAGTTCCATGATTGGGAGAAGAAAGAGGAAGAGGTATAACTGCGTTTTCTTTGTATTTGCAATGAATTCCTCTTTACATTTGTTTGGGTGTATGTTGCTTGATATATCTGCTTGATCTACAGTTCCATTTCGATCAAAGCAAGGTGAGGTCAGAGATTAGATTACGTGAAGGCCGACTTAAGCCAATCGACGTGCTCTGCAAGCACTTGGATGGTTCAGATGATCTGGATATCGAGCTCAGTGAACCCTACATGGTTTTCAAGGTATTTAAAAAGATTATGCTATATTGTAAAACCATATCGTGTTAAGTTATGGAGCTTTCTCACTTAGGTTTATACTTTCTCGGGCCTAGTTCAGTTCCTTAAAATTTTCTGTTTTTGGAATCAGTTGGATTGTGAGAGTAGTAGAGCGGAAAGAAGCTTGAGATAAAATAAGTTATTCTGCAAGTCTAAGCATTAGCAAGTTAGACCCTGAGATAGCATCTATGCTGGTTAGCTTTTCTGGGTATCTCTTATGACTATATCAACCTATGTATAAGATAGATATTTGCTTTTGAGATTGAGAGTGGAGATCTCTTTTTTTTTTTTGGTGAGAATCGAGAGTGGAGATCTCGTTAAATAAAGTGCTCTGTTTGTGTAGTTCTCTTTTTGGTTAACAAAGAAGAGTATACTGGTTTGGTTTTATTAGATTCTTGTGATGCTTATTATTAAAATTGATGAATTCTCTCCTGATGTGTATGATGCAGGGACTCACTGTTAAAGATATGGAAGAGCTTCGCGATGATATCAAGATGTATCTGGATTTGGATCGGGCAACTCCAACACGCGTACAATATTGGGAGGTATTTTCTACAACAAAGTCTCATTTTTTGATTTGAGGTGATTCATGCATTTAAAGTTATTATGCGTGTATGGAATTTCGATGCAACGTAATCTGAAAAATATAAATTCTATGGACACCATCTTGTTGTTTCATTTTGATGGTTGATTAACATTCTTGCTTCTTTTTCATGTTATTACCTACTTGTTTATGAGTAAATATGTGTGCTTAATACCATTGAATTTTTCCAGGCGCTTATTGTGGTATGCGATTGGGAGTTAGCTGAAGCTCGTAAAAGGGATGCCCTTGATCGAGCTAGAGTTAGAGGGGAGGAACCTCCTGCAGAATTGCTTGCTCAAGAGAGGGGATTACACGCTGGTGTTGAAGCTGATGTGAGAAAACTTCTTGATGGGAAGACCCACGCGGAGCTTGTAGAACTGCAGTTGGACATCGAATCGCAGCTGCGTTCTGGGTCAGCAAAAGTGGTAGAGTATTGGGAAGCAGTTCTTAAACGACTCGAAATATACAAGGCGAAGGTATTAGCTTGTGGATGATTATGAGGTGTTAGATTTTAAAAACAGTTGGCTTTGTTTTCGCATAATCACTGAGTATCTTGATGTTTAACAGGCTTGCTTGAAGGAAATACACGCTGAGATGCTGAGGAGTCATCTACATCGCCTCGAGCAACTTTCAGAGGGTGAAGAAGATTTAGAAGTTAATCATGGCTTAACACGTGTGGTGGAAGAAAATGAGGAGGAGATAAATGGTATGAATCATTCAGATGCTGAAGAAGCATTTTCTCCAGAGCCTATTGCCGAGGAAGAAGAAGCTGATGAGGCAGCAGAAGCGGCTGGTTCGTTTTCGCCAGAGCTCATGCACGGTGATGATCGTGAAGCAGCAATCGATCCCGAGGAAGACAAGAAGCTACTGGTATCTTTAACAGTTCCTTCAATTGAATTTTACCCATGAATTATTGTTGTTGGTACTTTTACTGACCGAAAAGCGGCTATAACAGGAAATGAAACGGATGGTTGTGTTGGAGAAACAGAAGAAACGGCTTAAAGAAGCTATGGACTCAAAACCAGCACCTGTAGAAGATAACTTGGAGCTTAAAGCAATGAAAGCAATGGGAGCAATGGAGGAAGGTGATGCCATATTTGGCTCTAATGCTGAAGTGAACCTTGATTCTGAGGTACCTTTATCACTATTTTTCTCTTCTCTGCAACATTTGAATTTCTTAGAACGAAAATACCAACATTTTCATCTTCTAGGTATACTGGTGGCATGACAAGTACCGGCCAAGAAAACCAAAGTATTTCAATAGGGTTCACACGGGTTACGAATGGAATAAGTATAACCAAACTCACTATGACCACGATAACCCGCCTCCAAAAATCGTTCAAGGGTACAAGTTTAACATCTTCTACCCGGATTTAGTAGACAAGATTAAGGCTCCCATTTACACTATTGAAAAAGATGGTACAAGCGCTGAAACTTGTATGATCCGGTTCCATGCTGGTCCGCCTTATGAAGACATTGTAAGTACTCGGAACCATTACATGGGTTTCATCATCGCCTCTTGTTTTATCATTGTGCTCAATTTTTGTTTTTCTTTGCTTTTCAGGCTTTCCGGATTGTGAATAAAGAATGGGAGTATTCTCATAAGAAAGGTTTCAAATGCACGTTTGAGCGGGGGATTCTACATTTGTACTTCAACTTTAAACGACATAGGTACAGGCGATAAACTGATCGGAGTTTGGCTGGAGAAGACGAGGCTGGCAGTTGTAAGACTTTGGCTGATGTTTTATTAAGCCTTGTTTGTAAGAGAAGGGCAATACATGTGTCTAAATTTGGATTTCACTCAAGTTAATTCCTGAGCTAAGAACTGTATTTGAATATTTTCATTGAAGCTGATAATCAAACAGAACCGAATAGAAAATGACTTTTCAACATGACAAGCTCACGATCGAAGATGTAATGATATGATTACTAACAAATCTGGAGTTGGTGATCGTGCAAGAACTTTTTGGTGAATTAGTGTATATGGAAAAGTTGGTGTAGAGACATGAATGTGTGTTTTGGTTGGGGACGAGAGAAACGAAGATAGAGTTAAGTGTTGAAGTTGCTTAGGTTGAGATCTCAACATCAGAATGCTTATAAAAAGATTCTGTTGGTAAACTTAAGTAGTGGAGTAGAAGATATTATTTATTCCGACTTTTCCTTTCTTTTTCATCTCCTTTTGATGTCTCTTTTTCTCCAAACTCTCCACGGCTCCACTCCTTTTTCTCATTCGTTTTGTTACTAAAAATTTGCATTTCTTTTATTAATCTCGAATCTAAATAATTCGTCATTAAACATGATAATGTATTTGACTAATGAACCATCATTTGACAGTGAATTACATGTTTTTGCCATCTTTTTTTATTTTGATACCTTTGTTTTTTATAAAACAGCCTTTTTTTGTTCTTGTTAAAACAGAATATTCCTTGGTAATAAACTAACATGACCAAATTTTCCATATATATCAAGTTATCAACCATTTAAGTTTAATGAAGCTTTTTGAAAATGAAAAACTAGTGCGTAGAGAGTGGAGACAACCACTAAATTAATTTTTCGTCGTCAACATCAGAAGTTTCAAACAATTCCCTATAAAAACTGAGTTTGCTCTATATATTTTATTAATATCGACATCCAGGAAAAGAAAATAAAAAAAGTCCAGAATATCGTCCTCTATATGATAATTAAAATCGCTTTCAAACTTCTACGGTAACCCGACATTTTCTGTTTTTCCTCAATAAAGATTTTTTTTTTGTTAATTTTTTCACCCTTTCCGATAAAATTTATTAGGCAACCGTATCTTAATCTCCGATCTTTCCGCTTCTATCTGATTTTGAACTCAGGTTCGTTCAATATTTTTCTCCAAACATCTTCTTTGCTACCAAAATTCTGGAATTAATCAACTTTCGATATATGGTTCCATTAAATCTCGTTTAGATTATAGATTTTTTTTTTTTTTTAGTTTCGGGCTTTTCCTTTTTTAGATTAAGAGTTCATATTTTGGAATAATTAAAAGAAATGGATTCTGCGAGAAGTTGGTTTCACAAGTTTCAACCACGAGATAAGCCTCGGAAAAAAGACATGTTCTCCGGAAGCGCTTACGGCGGTGGCGCGACAGAAACCACCGCCCCCGACGGAGGAAATGAAACAGAAACGGCGGCAAAACTTCCACCACTAGGCGGTGACGGAGAAGCACTCTCTAATACAACAAAACAGAAAGTTGCTGCAGCCAAACAGTACATTGAGAATCATTATAAGGAACAGATGAAGAACCTCAACGAGAGGAAAGAGAGGTATAAATATATATAATATATCTTTAAACATATTATATATATTCTTGATCGGTTTATTTAGTTATTTATATTTGGTAGACGAACAACGCTTGAGAAGAAGCTAGCAGATGCAGATGTATGTGAAGAAGACCAAAACAATCTTATGAAGTTTCTTGAGAAGAAAGAAACTGAGTACATGAGACTCCAAAGGCATAAAATGGGTGCTGATGATTTCGAACTCTTAACTATGATTGGTAAAGGTGCTTTTGGAGAGGTTCGAGTTGTTAGAGAGATCAACACAGGTCATGTTTTTGCTATGAAGAAACTCAAGAAATCAGAAATGCTTCGTCGAGGCCAGGTTACATAATGTTCTGCACCGCATTTTCGGTTTTACGAGTTCTTATTTGAAAGTTTTGAAAATTTCTTGGTAGGTGGAGCATGTAAGAGCAGAGAGGAATCTATTGGCAGAAGTAGACAGTAACTGTATAGTGAAGCTTTACTGTTCTTTCCAAGACAATGAGTATCTTTATCTGATAATGGAGTATTTGCCTGGAGGAGATATGATGACACTTCTGATGAGGAAAGACACTTTAAGTGAATATGAAGCTAAGTTCTACATCGCTGAAGCTGTTCTCGCTATCGAATCTATCCATAACCGCAACTATATCCACAGGTTGGATCTTATAACTAAGTCATTATTGATCACAAAGAAAAATGTGTTTTAATTTTGTTGTTGTTTGGTGCATGCAGGGACATAAAGCCGGATAACTTGTTGCTTGATAGATATGGACATTTGAGGTTGTCTGATTTTGGACTATGTAAGCCATTGGATTGTAGTGTTATTGACGGAGAAGATTTCTCGGTAGGAAATTCGGGTAGCGGAGGAGGTTCAGAGAGCGTATCAACCACTCCTAAACGCTCGCAGCAAGAACAGTTGGAACATTGGCAGAAGAATCGAAGAATGCTTGTATGTACTCCTTATCAATAAAACTGAAACAACATTCCGGTTTAGTATGGTTTCAGTGTTGATTTATAATCGGTTTTCTATCAAACATTATCTCTAATTTGAATTATTTCTTTAATTAATGAGTCTAACTTGTTCTTGGTGTATAACACTGATGATATAGGCTTACTCAACTGTTGGTACACCAGACTACATTGCACCTGAAGTCTTGTTAAAGAAAGGATACGGCATGGAATGTGACTGGTACGTACACGTGTCTGTTTTCAATTTGTTAACAAAGAACCAAGAAAAACATTCCAAGTCTTTAGAAAGTGAAAAATAATCTTCCAATTCAGGTGGTCACTAGGAGCTATAATGTACGAAATGCTTGTTGGGTATCCACCCTTTTACGCCGACGATCCAATGTCCACTTGTAGAAAGGTTCAAATAATTTAAAAAATTAATCATTTGACTTTTGTTTTTTTTCTAATGAACTTTATGTATTTATTAGCTAGAATTCATACATGTAAAAAACAGATAGTGAATTGGAAAACACATTTGAAGTTCCCTGAAGAAGCAAGGCTATCACGAGAGGCAAGAGATCTTATTGGTAAGCTCTTGTGTAGCGTTAACCAACGACTAGGCTCTACTGGTGCCTCACAAATTAAGGTATCTTTCTCTTTTTACTTCTATAGTAAAAGTTGAAAGTTTTAAAAACCCACAATAAATTTCATAAGTCGAGTTGATCCAATCCACAAAATGTCACATGCAGGCACATCCTTGGTTTCAAGGTGTAGAATGGGAAAATATTTACCAAATTGAAGCTGCGTTTATTCCTGAGGTCAACGACGATTTGGATACTCAAAACTTTGAGAAGTTCGATGAGGTTGGTCTTTTATCTTCTTTTTTTTGTTCACATTAATTGTGTTAAGCTAAAAATTGCTATTTACTGTGTATCAAATTCCTTGATTTTCTTAATGCATGTTTAGGAAGATAATGAAACTCAAGCACCCTCTAGAACAGGGCCATGGAGAAAAGTAAGTCTGAGTTAATTACCTTTTACTAAAAAATAAAGACAACAGAAAATTTGGAACTTCATGATCACACACACACTCCCTTTATTTTGTTTGCTATAGATGTTATCTTCAAAAGACATAAATTTTGTCGGCTACACATACAAAAACTTTGAAATCGTCAACGATTATCAAGTCCCCGGTATAGGTATGTATATATAATTTGTCTTGCAACATATCAATTAATGCCTTACATAATTCAATATCAGGAACAAAACTCTAACGAACATTCCGGTTTACATTAACTTCAGCCGAACTAAAAAAGAAAGAGACAAAATCAAAGAGACCATCGGTAAAGTCACTATTCGGTACGTGAAAATCTCTCATTAATTACTAAAACCATCGGTTAAGTTCTTTCTCTCATATTCTTGTACATAATCATAATCGGGTTTTTCACAGAGAGCGAATCAGAGTCCTCGTCGTCTTCTGGTTCGGAGCAACAGACCATTAACCGGAGCTTTTCGAATCCGACGCCTCGTGGAATGGAACCCAACCTCAGACGTCTAGACTCTGAGTAGATATCTGTGTCTTTAAACCAAATTAAACCGGAAATAATGAGCTAAACTACTAAAAACTAATGTAAACCTAATCGAGTTACAGATTTCGACTATTGTTCTTTTCTTTATAGCTTTTTTTGTTTGTTTGTTTGTTTGTTAACCCTAATCTGTAACTGTAAATGGTAATAGTACATTATATTGCGTATTAATGTAAATTACATAGGTGGTAGGACGAAGAAAGAAAATTAATCCAGCATTAATAGATTACAAGTGTTGTGTTTTTAGTCCCATCTTTGAGATCCAAATTTCAAGATGGTTATACGAAAAAAAGATTTAATTTTATAGTTATTACCTAAGGAACAAATTAGTAATAATTATATAAGGACCAAATGATTTATGATATAGTTTCGTCCACGTCTAGTAGATTGGCATGAGACTCGTACTTTCCTGATTGAGTCACAGGCACATTCCGTACAGGTAAAGGTTTTTCCGTTTTCCCAGAAATTATGCTTATCAAAATTGATATAGATGTAGCTTAAGAGTAAATATCACATTTTGGGGCAGAGAAAACAAAAACCTCACTGGAACAGCTCGGTATGCAAGTGTGAATACTCACCTTGGAGTCGGTGAGTGTTTTTTTCCTATATGAATTTATTGATATCCCAACCGTTATGTATTCGGATCTGATAAGTAATTTCTCTTGCTGGTGTCTCTAAAGAACAAAGTCGAAGAGATGATTTGGAAGCACTTGGTTATGTGCTTATGTATTTCCTCAAAGGGAGGTAAGAGTCTACAACTTCCATACCGATCTTTAAACTTCTCTGTGATCGTCTTTCTCAATTTTGGTATCTCTTTTCAACAAATGTTGAATTGTTTTCTCTTAACATTATTTCTTTCAGCTTACCCTGGCAGGGATTAAAAGCTGGGACAAAGAAGCAGAAGTATGACAGAATTAGTGAGAAAAAAGTAGCAACTCCTATAGAGGTATTGGAAATTCGACATTTGGCTTTGAGTATTGTGATTAGTTTTAGCTTTGATGACTTAGCATTGATGTGAAGAACAGGTATTGTGTAAAAATCAACCGTCTGAGTTTGTTTCATACTTTCGTTACTGCCGGTCTCTACGGTTTGATGACAAACCTGATTACTCTTACCTGAAGAGGCTATTTTGCGACTTGTTTATTCGAGAAGGTTCTTATCGCACGTTTCTTATTCAAGCAAATAATCTCTGTCCCACCGCTTTCATAATTCTTATTTTCATTCTCAATGACAGGTTATCAGTTTGATTATGTATTTGACTGGACAGTTCTGAAGTATCCTCAGATTGGTTCCACCTCTGGTTCTAGTTCACGGACACGGGTAATTTATTCTGATTTCTCCTTTTGGTTCTTAAGTTTCTCTCTATTCAAGCTTAAAAATTTGAATTATTGTTTCAGAATCATACAACTGCGAAACCGGGGTTAAGTGCAGGACCTTCTCTCGAAAAACCGGAGAGGATTGCTGGTAAACTGTCCCTTTGTTTGTTTACTTTTGAATCTTAAACCGATTTCCTGCTTTAACTGTTTTTTTCTTTTGAATTTTGCAGGAAAGGAGACTCGCGAGAACCGGTTCTCGGGTGCAGTTGAGGCTTTCTCAAGAAGGCATCCGACAACTTCTACTCCGCGTGATCGCTCGGCATCAAGAAACTCCGATGATGGGCCTTTGTCTAAGCATCCGGTAAGATCCCTTACCAAATCGGTTTTTCAGATCAAATTTTTGGTTCAGATTTGGTTTGGTTAGAGCGGAGAATGCAATCCCTCACTAGACTCACTGTATTTTACTCTAATTTTCACAGCCTGGTGACTCAGAAAGACCACGCAGTTCCTCAAGATACGGAAGCTCTTCGAGGAGAGCAATTGCGTCAAGCTCTCGACCAAGTTCCGCAGGTGGACCAAGCGATAGTCGATCCTCTAGCCGTCTGGTGACATCAACTGGAGGAGTCGGAACGGTAAGCAACCATGCATCAACAAGCCAGAGAATCCAACCAGGAAACGAATCCAAGACATCGTCTTTTTCGCGTGCAGCTAGAAACACTAGAGAAGATCCATTAAGGAGGAGCTTAGAGCTTCTCTCTCTCCGAAAATGAAACCTGACAAAGAAGAAAGTCATTATACGTACAAACCAAACGAACAAAACAATAGACAGATAATCGTAAGAGAATCTGCGTTAAGATACATAAAACGTTCCATATATACGTATATAGTTTATTTTGTATATTTAAAACAGTTTTAGAAGCCGAAATTTCATTATGACGCAGACTCAAAAACACACTTTTGTTGGTAGGCTTCGATCTATCTGTAATAAATAAAAAATATAAATTGTTTACCCTGTGTTTGATTTTTTGTCGAGTTTGAATCCGATTAATCGTAAGAAGGTGGTGGAGAATCATACCGGTTTCATATGGGTCGGTTATTATTTAACCGCAATAAAACTAACGGGGGCAATTGTGACTTTTTGTCATAGAGATTAGGGCTAGGGTTTTTGACCAGCCGCGTGCTATTTATGATCATCTTCTTCCTTTCTCTATTTCTTACAACTATCGATCTATACATTAGGGTTCTTCTTCAATCGCTTAGGGTTTTATGAGATATCTATAGACTATTGATTAGGTTTCTTCTTAAATTGCTTAGGGTATATATCTAGTTCTGATGGTTTGCAGGAGCCTCCCGGGCTAATCTGATAACTAAGGTACTTGAGGAAGTAAGCCCCAAAGCTCCTGCTAGATTATTTTGCCGTTTGTGTTGCAGATTGGCCTTATTCCTTAGGCTTTTCTGTGTCAAAAAAGCGGCTATATCTATATATCTCTCTTTTCTATATGTGTTTTGATTTGAGCTGTGTTTGTTGATGGAATCGAATTGGTATCAATAATGTTTGTTTTGTTTTGGCAATGATTATAAACTTACCCGCGCTTCTGAGATTAGGTCAATGAAGCAGATACGGTAAATACATGGTTGAATTCCTTAATATGAGCCATTGTTTTCTTCTTTTTCTTTGTTTTTTCTCTGAGTTTTGTTTGTTTGGCAATGATGATGAATTGTAACAGCTTGATACGCCAGTTCTGCTTCAGATAATTCTTGATCGAAAAAGCTTTATTCCTATCTGAGCCTTTAGTTGTTGAATTTTGAGAATGTCGATGATGATCTAATCCAATCTTACGAGGTGCAGTGGAGCTGAGACCCTGTTTTCAGGGAGAACCCCTTGGCAGAAGCTGCAATTTCTATGACTTGTATGGATTTTACTGAGACATTTTCATACAACTCTCGGTTTTATTGATTTGAGTTTAAACTATACACTTGCACTTGTATCTTAGTGCTTGTAGTCTGAAAAAACTCATATATTCTCAGTGTTCTCATCAGCTTCCGTCTCTTTTTTATCCATGGGACTAGAGTTAAACAAGAACACTACATTTTTCTCTTCCAATTTTACATTATTTTTTTGTTTTCTTGTTTTGAGTTTCTGATTTCGTACACAAGAGTATGTTGCCTGCATGAGATTGGAGATAAATATTAAAGCATATTAAGGACTCTGGTGCCTGGTGGAATGGATATGCTTATAATGCTTCTTGGGACTTATGAATTGAGGTTTTGTGTTGATAGGTAAATGCTGAATCATTTCCCTATTACAAGTTATTGGATGACTAAAGGGCTGCTACGTTTCGAATTTCTTGATCCCCTGTTGTAGAATTGAGCCAAATACTTCCATTTTCTTCTTTTCCAGTGCTATTCCAATCTCAACTCCATTACTGCCGTCTCTGGACTCTGAGAATGCGATTGAACCACCTGTTTCTATGTGCACTATCTCCATTTTGCAGGGCTTTCCTAACCCAAAATCCATATCATACAGTCCCAATTTCGGAGCTCCTGCTATTGAGGTTGGAAAACGGGACATGACCCATTTACGTACTCCTTGTCCCCATGTTGGTGCTGTTTTCAGTAGATCGCTTGATAACATATCTTTGATTCTCGCTGTGATTGCGTCTGAAGCAGCCAAAACGCATTTCTCTCCTAACAAATCTCGTTTCTTGACAGATACGATCCCAGGAGCCATGCAGTTGCCAAAGTATGTTTGTGGTATTGGTTGTGTGTACTTGAGACGATTCCTGCAATCCACATTGATCATCAAGTGAAAGACTTCGTCTTTGTCTTCCTCCTCAGCCTCTGTTTCACTGTCTTGAACAATTGTCTTCATCAAGCTTACCCAAATGAGAGCTAGAGTTACCACGAAGGTAGAAACAGGAGATTGATTCTCAGACTGCTCTTTAACCCAGCTCTTGAGATTGTCTATCTGATTCCGGCTCATTGTAAAAGTAGCTCTAACCATGTTCTCAGGCGTAACATGTGAACTGTTTTTTCCAGAGTTTTGGCTCCAAAACCGCTCCAAATGTCCTGCGCCTACCTCTCCTGGGTCCTTGATCATGTTTCTGCAGCTGTGAATAGGCAGAGGGGGTAGAAGAACCGTGGCAGGATCTTTGCCGTTGGATTTGGTCAGTGACATCCAATACTTCATGAAGTGACTGAAGGTGACTCCATCCGCTACAACATGTGTAGCTGAGTTGCCTATACAGATTCCGGCTCCAGGGAAGATGGTGACTTGCATCGCCATTATTGGCCGCATCTGAATTCCTTCCGGAGAGACATGAGGAGGAGGTAACTTGGGCAAGACGCCATGCAACACCCTGATATCTTTAGGGGAATCAGTTTTCAGTTGGTTGAAGTCGGTTTCAGTAGACTCTGCTACAGTGAAAACAAGAGAGTCTTCGCCATCGTTGTACTGTAAGTATGGAGGGTCGGGACGAGACGGGATGATCAGTTTACCGGCGTAAGGGAAGAAATGCTGGAGAGAGATGGAGAGTGATTGTTTAAGGTTGGGTACAAAATCTTTGAGGAAAGATTCAGTTGAGTTTTGGTAAGAAAAGAAGAAGAGAGAATCGGCGAGTGGGAGAGTGAGCCACGGGGCATCAAAGAAGGTGAGAGGAAGAGTGGTGGATGGAACAGTGCCGGTTGTGGGAGAGATATGACAGGTCTCGATGATGTTAGGAGGTTGAGGATGAGCCATGGTGTGATTAAGTTTGGAGGAAATGAGTTCATTAGTTCTCTTTTTATAAAAGGAAAATGAAACCACCGGGCAAGTGAAGAAGTTGATTCTGTCACATTTGGTCAAATGCTTTGTCATGTGCCCCAACCTCCACAGCCACCATTTTGTTTGGTTTTCAAAACATTTGTTGGGCCTTTATGTTTGCTTGATCAATGGAGCCAATATCAATCGAATCCATAATCGTTATTTTTTCAGAAATCTTATCAACTTCGAAAAACGAAAACATATTACTTGAAGTACACAATTAAATTTTCATATAAAAATTCCATACTAAATTGCATGCAATTAGATCAATGGTATTTTATTGTTGCAATTAAATTGTATTTTATAGTTATGGAAAAACAAATGTACACAGTATCAATTGTACTTTCAGTTTACCACTATGTTGTTTGTATAGATAAAAATTCAGAGTGGCATCTTATTTAACTCAATTTTTATATGAAAAAACAAAACTGGAAAATCTTAACGGTCTGCAGTTGAACCCAATATAAATATATAATTAAATAGCACTACAAACTAAAATAAAGTTAATTAAACCTATGGGCTGAATTGTTTTGATTTGTTCACAGAATTTAAGATTGGGCTTCGGTGGTTTATTAGGCCCATTAATAGAAGCCCTTAAATGCTGTGTACTTTCTTTCTCTGCCTCTCATACGCTCTCTATGTTCTCTGCTTCTTCGTATACTTTTTGATCGAGCTCTCATCTCTCGTTTGTAATAAATGCATAAAGGTAATAAATGACACAAAGAATTTAACGAGTTCAGGCCTCCAATGTGGAAACCCTACATCTCGCCGGGGATTTTTACCCCGGAAATTCCACTATTTTCATCATATCTTCTTGAGTTACACAAATACACCAACCCTATTTAGTAGTCTTTGTTATCATCCTCAACATAATATCAACTTGACCCGCTAATACTTCTATCTCCTCTGGTTTGCGTCGGATCTTTCATCAACCCTAGTTAGATAATAAACTCATAATTCCCCAATGCGAGGGCATCATTAGGATTGTCCATCAGCACCATCATATCATCATCTTCTTGCTGCTGTTGTTGCTGTTGAGTAACGTCACGATCTTCTTGTCCCTCCAGAAGTGTCATCGCAAAATCATCAGCCAAACCGATTAAACCTGCAGCCTCTTCTTGCACTTGTTGGTTCGACATCATCATGACGACGTTATTGTTGTTGTTGTTGTTGTTCTGCATCGGTGTAGGAACCGGTATCTCTTCTTCTTGCTGTTGTTGTTGTTGTTGTTGGGTAACGTCACGATCTTCTTCTCCATCTAGCAACATCGACTCAGGGTCATCAGAAAAACCGGTTAACTCAGCCTCTTGTTGTTGCTCACAATCTTCTTGTCCCTCTAGCATCGTCTCAAGCTCATCAGGAAAATCGGTTAAGTCAACCTCTTCTTGCTCCTCACGATCTTCTTGTCCCTCTGGCATCTTCTCAAGCTCATCAGTTAAACCGGTTAAATCAGCCTCTTCTTGCACTGATTGGCTCTGTAAGATGTTGTTGGTGTTCTCCGCCACCTGAGTCTGATGAGCTTGATGATTAACGCGTCTAATCTTGTTGACCTTCTTCTGTTTCTTGTATCGGATCCGACACAAGACCAACTTTTGCTGCTCATCACTCTTGTGAAGAGAATACTCCTGCATCAGCCAATCAGTTTTGACAAGCTCTCCGTGCACTTTCCTGTGGTACGTGAAAGACTGCTGGTAACCCATCACCCTTTGATGTCCGTCCTTGATCTCTTCTTTCCCATCGTTGCTTCTCCAAGTGCCGCCTTCGCTTCCTCCTCTTCCGGGTACCTTCCGTTGCACGCTTGAACGTCGTTTAGTCAGCTGAACAAAGTAGTACCACTCCTTGTTCTTGAACAGAGGATTGTTTACGTGAGGAAGAAGCCACGGCTCGTCCATGTAGACGTCCATAGTTGTTATGAAACTGCTCTGCTTCCTCTCCACCATGTTTCGAAGATAAAACCTCACCAAACCTAGATCTTTAGGAAGAAACCGTGATCCAACCGGAAAAGACTTCATATCGATCCTGTGGATTCGAAGAAGAACTAGCTAAGGTATATATAATTCCTAGGTTAAGTAAATCTCTAATTCGTCTTGTAATAATGCTCTGTGAAGGAGAGGGTGATGGTGTGTGATCATGAATATATAGACTACGTCATGGGCCAAACGGATTTTCTTTTGTCAGCGATTAAACTATTTTTTTTGGAAAGAATATGACGGTTGTAATTAAATTTATTTGGTTATTTGAGATGATAATTAGATAGGATTCGAATCAATAATATATTTTTTTTGTTTTGTTTATTACAGATTCTAACCTTAGATAGAATCTATAATATACATGAGACCATGAGGATCACATTAGATTCTAGACGTATCTGTAGTGCCGGCCCTGAGCACAGCCACTTGAGGCAATGGTTTGTGGCTCCAAAATTTTATGTTGCAAAATGAGGCCCCCAAAAATATTTTATGTTGCAAAGAGAAGTCCCATTTTCTTGAAATTTTAAGATTTGATATCAGTTTTTAAAATATATCTATAAAACCCAACAAATTTTTTCTTTTTTGCTTGGGACCCATATTGTTCAGGGCCGGCCCTGCGTATCTATATCTTGTAGACTTCTAATATTTTCCTCTTAAATTATTTTATTTGTTATTTTTTTTCATTATCTTACTTACGATTTCTTTAGAATTTTCCTGTTTCCCTGAACTAATAATATCTTTTAAATTATTAAAGTTTTAATAGAACCAAACTTCTTGGCGAACAAATATTTGTATGCAAAATCTTACCAAAATAAAAAATTTGTATGCAAAAAACAAAATAGACTTACAATAGAAAGCAAAGACGTTTTGGACATTGCAGGGAAAAGCTTGGCAGATAAAAAAAAGAAAAATAAAGTCACTACATTTGTTTAATTGTTTATATATCCACAAATCTTCCCAGAAAGCAAACCGTAGAAGACACATTGAATGTAGAAATTTTTTGTCTGAAACATCTTCAAGCTCACGGCACTTCTTCTTTCTATCTAAGCGCAGCCAACCGCTTCTCCAGTTCATCGATTTCAGAACTGCACAGAAACATCTGAGGTTTAATTTCGATAAAGGTATGTCCTAGTTGTGATTAGTGGATACTATACCTGCCAACATTCTCTGCATTCTTCCCACCAATTTTACCTTTTGGAGCAGATGATAACTGCAGATGGATAAAAACAGAGACGAGCGAATATTAATCACGGAGAAGACATGAAGACACAGAAGAATGATGAGAATCGATGGTTAAAAACAAACCTGCGAGGCGATATCAATGCCGATTTCATCAAGAACCTAATCAGTAAAACAAAAAAAGCTTTGTTTAAACCTTTGAAAACAGTCTATTTTAGAAATTGAACCGATAGGTAGAGGGCGGAAATGTACCTGGTTTGTCAAATCCTCTGTTTCGTCCTCAGCTTCGTCATTGTCTAAAGCATCATCTATGGCATCTGACATCATCTCAGTCTGAATACCACATGCATTAGTCAGACTAATGAGACTGTTTGAGTGTTCATGGATTTTAAAAAAAGATGGATTTGATAGAACTTACAGTCATGTCCATTTGTGCAGACTGCTTTTGAAATTCTCTCATAACCTTAGCCTGTTTTGCTGGATCCATATTCTGAAAATATCAAAAACATCTTTTTACATTGAAGAACAAGTTCTAAACACAAAAAAAAACCCACCACAATTCCTGCTGGATTTATGTTCTTCCTACAACGAGATAACCCTCAAAAACTGAACTTGACGAATCCAAACAAATCACTTAAACATGGGCAAATCTGATCCGTGTTATATGAAAATCTGACCTTGCTCATAGCTGCCATTGCCTTAGTGGCACCTTGCATTCCAGCAGCAACTGAAGTGTGCGCATGCATAGCCTAAACACCAAAGTGAAAGTTTCCAATACTCAAATTTAGATATTACTATCTTCTTGGTTTATAAACAGAAATATTGGAGAATGAAATGATATAAGTTTAAATTAACAAACCTGTGTATGAGTAGCTATGCCTCGCATTTGAGCTCGGCTACCTTGTAAGTTAGCTATTTGCTGCCTTAGCCGGATCAATTGCCGAGCAAGAATCTTAGTTGCTCCCTGCATAAAAACAAAAGATGTAGAGTACATAAACTAGACCCTATTACAGAAACAAAACTCGAGCGCTCAAACCCGAAAAAAGAATTACCGATAAGGAATACCTCATTCCCTGATTTAGCAGTTCTTTTTATCTCGAGAACAAGCTTTTTCTCCTATCAAACATGAAAGAAAAGGTTTTCAGATATGTCCCTTGAAAAAAAGAGTGGATGGAAACATTACTACATGAGCCACATTCATACTTCTGATTGCAGAGATCCGATTTCCTTTTCGATTCCTGAAGCCGCGTTGCGAGACAAAACACGTAAAGGAGGAAATTTTAATCAGTTTGAGAGGAATTTAGGTATATATCAATTAAAACTTGAGCAATATCTAGTTTTGGCCATGAAATTTAGTAGCTTATCCATCAAGCAATCAAAAATCAATGATTTAACCCTTTTCTAGATTCAATAATCAAATCTTAAAGCCAATCATATGAACAAAGAATACCTCTTGTAGCTTGTGTCATCTCTCTCTTACTCTCCCTAAGCACTTCTGCAATTGCCAAATAAAAAAAACGGTACATTCAGATTCATACAGTCATTAATAGACATAAAGATTGTCGAATTGAGACGAAACCAAGCCAGATTCCAAAAAGAAACATTGGAGATATGATCACGATCGCGCCACAGAATTACAGAAGAAGTCAACTTTTTAGCAATTTAGAAGAAACCCAGATGATCAAAATTCCATTTAGGTTGTTGATCAATCGGAGAAACAAAACCTAATTTAGAAAACAAAATCCAAAAGAAAGAAAAAATCGAAATCAAACCTCTCGGATTTGGTTTCTTAGTGAAGATGTTCATGTTTTTTCCCCTTGCTTGTATTTTTTTTTCTCTGAGAAATTGGGGTGTGCTTGAAGATGGTCTCAAAGCTTTAAGAACACGGAGACTCTGTACCAGAGAGGCAGAGAAAAGAGAGATTTGGCTTCAAACGTGATCGCAGCAAAAAATTTTGGAGGTTTTAATTTTCTTATCGATTACGTAAATATTCTTATTTCCGACTTATTAGTATAATGATTTTTTGGTTTTACTGTGATAGTTTTTGGGAATTTGCTAAAATGTGTAATTTGTGAAAATTCTAGCAAATGTACCATATTTGAAATGGATTAAACATCTATACTACATTTGGTGTTTGTGTGGCAATTCTTGGACGATTTTGCCTTTCTCTGTGCGTCAGGTATGTGTCAGGGGAAGGAGCTACAGTAGACGCTGGTTGGGAAACGAGGACAACTTTGTGTCAGAGAAGAAGGATAAAACATTGCATTACCATGGACAATAATTATGAAATAGAGTGAATGATGTCCTCCAAGAATAAGTCCAGATCTCTTGATTATCCATCGCCAGATGATGTGGTTTTACCAGCCAGAGATTTGGATTTACTCGGGGACAACTTCTCTTGATTGTTCATCGCCAGATGATGTGGTTTTACCAGCCAGAGATCTGAATTTACTTGGAGACAACTTGATCTTTATTTTATTCTGCCAAAGAGCCGAAGACGAAGATCTAGATTTATTCGGGGACAACTTTGTTTTACCACAGGGACAAAAACGGTTACCAATGCGTTAGGAGAGAGACTGTGGACGGCAGAAAATTCGGAGAGTTCCATCAACCGCAGGGTCTTGTCTCAGTAAGTTGGAGGATAGAATCGTCTTTTCACATGATGAATGTGATATGGATGCTAAGTGGGCTCAGAAAGTGGTACTGGGCCTAAACTTTTTGAAAAAAGTGGTATTGGGGCTAATTTTCCCATAATTTTTGGTAATTAAAATTTCCACAAATTATACCTAAAACGTTATACAAAATATAATTAAATCGATTTTTTTTTTTATCGATTTCCACACATAATTGTTTTTAATTAAATTCATCGTTCGCCTAAAAACAAAATTAATTTTAATCCTAGGCAAAAGGAAACTGTAAGATATGGTGGGGTTGACTCTGGTCAAAGAGAAAACGGCCGGTGAGGAATAAAATTAAATATCTCTCGAGGTCCTCCACTCTCCTCCTCCTTCACTTTGATAACTTTCCGGCGAAATCTATCTTTTTTTTTTGCCGATTAGTGATCGGAATTGCTTGTTCGTTCAACTGCCAACTTCTTTCCTACTCGGTGCAGGAATCTTACTATTCCAATCACTTGTCTATATCTGGAAACAAATCGTCACTGATTTTGTATCAAATTCGAAAACTAGGGTTTATCGAATCGGTTGCTGTTTCTCAAATTATAAGTATTCGAGCTGTTGACACAGTAGCGTCGTCTTTTCATAGCCGCTGTTGTCGAATTTTGAATTTCTCGATTTTCGCGGCGCTTTTGTTACTCCAATTGATTCAAGGAGTTTGAAGGAGTAGGGTTTCTCGTTGCGAATAAGCAGGAGATCATGGATATTGACGGAGTAGACGATGTTCATATTTTAGATCCTGAGCTCTTGCAGCTCCCGGGTTTATCTCCTGCTCCGCTCAAGCCAAGCTCTCATATTGCCGATGAACTCTTCTCTCAGTGGCTCTCACTCCCTGAAACTGCCAGATTGGTACCTTATCTCTACTCTTCCTTGGCCTCTCTTTTACACTAGTGTGTTCCATGACCCTGGTTCATGTTTCTGTAGGTCAAGTCTTTGATTGATGATGCTAAATCTGGAACACCAACTAATGTATCCAAGAATTACGCCACCACTGATGTTTCCGGTGGAAGTGCTTTGCCTGCTGTGTTTCTGAGCAGCAGCACTCCCCCGCTATCTCCACGAAGCTCGTCTGGGTCCCCTCGTTTCTCGAGGCAAAGGACTAGCCCTCCTTCTCTCCAGTCTCCTCTGCGATCATTCAAGGAGCCCAAGCATGAACTCATTCCTCAGGTTTGTTCTCATTTTCTGCTGATCCCCACACATGGATATGTATTGCTCTGGACTTGTGATTTTGGTGTGGTATGTATGTTCACTTGATTGGTCATTGAAACAGATAGCTTCGTTAGTAGATGCAAGGTACAGTTTAAACCGAGGCTACTAATTTGTAGGTAAAATTGATTTGAAGGGAAAATGGTCCTTCACTGTGACATGATAATAAGTCTAGCTCACAACAGTTCATATGTTTATATTGTCTGCAGTTCTACTACCAACACGGGCGTCCACCAGCAAAAGACCGAAAGGAACAGTGTATATCCATGGTTGATCAATTTTTTAGAAACTATATTGATGGACTACATGTACATGGTGATGTTTTAATTCAACTTTTGCTTTCATTTTTGTCCTTGTAAAGAATATTTAAGGCAATTCATCTTAGCATTCGTGTTCCTCTTGCAGAATTCAAATCCATTACGAAAGAAGTCTGCAAGCTGCCTTCTTTTCTTTCTCCTGCACTTTTCAGAAAGATCGATCCCAATTGCACTGATATAGTTACAAGGTAATATGCTATTTATTCTTTATAAAATTTATTTTAATAGTAGTTAGTTGTAGGTATGTATGTATGTGTATGTAAAATAGTGTGAGAACTTCGGTTACTTGCTCTATTTTCTTATAAAACTTTGTTGGGTAATTGGTGCTTTACTAATGTTTGCTGATTGACAAATTGTCCTCAGGGATGCGTTTATCAAGTATTGGATTGATGGAAATATGTTATCTATGGACACAGCCTCCCAGATATATAATATACTAAGGCAGCAGGGCTGCAAGTACCTCAGACAGGTCTTTCTGTGATTCTTCTCCCGCTTTTCCTCAACCGCGTTCTGATTTATTTTGCAACAATTGTCTTCCTATTTTAACCCATTGCGCCAACGATTTTGATCATTTCTTGGATTTGGCTACAGGCAGACTTCAAACCAGTTCTTGATGAGCTTCTGGCAACACATCCTGGGTTAGAATTTCTGAGGACGACAAGCGAATTTCAAGAAAGATATGGTAGGAATCATTGATTTGTGACTTACTGATGTCATGGGTGTTAAATATGATGAAACCTACTCGATTTTCTTTTCTATGCTAAATAAGACGTCCCTTCTGTGGATACACCTCTATATCTCTACTGGTTATGTACATATGTTAGATTTATACCTGTACTAATTAAATCCTTTGTTGATTACCCAGCTGAAACTGTCATCTACAGAATATTTTACTACATTAACAGATCCGGAACTGGTTGCCTTACTCTTAGAGAGCTGAAACGTGGAAATCTAATTGCTGCTATGCAACAACTTGATGAGGAGGATGACATCAATAAAATTATTAGGTGATTTTAGTTTTCTTTTTCATAATATCCTAACAATTAATATTTTAAATTGAAACATGTGCAACAGAAAATGTTCTATTGTTAGATAAGAGGTAAACAAGCCTGCAAAAATGTATTACATTTTAGAGGGTCTATCACATATAACATTAAACAGTTGAAAAGGAAAGAGCTATATGAGTATCGGCTAAGCCTTCATATTGTTTCTGTAACAGATCTTATGCCTGATGTAACCATTTGCAATCATGTCATTTCTTTTAATTTTCAGGTACTTCTCCTATGAGCACTTCTACGTCATATACTGCAAATTTTGGGAACTTGATGGTGACCATGATTGTTTTATTGATAAGGACAATCTCATCAAATATGGTAATAATGCCCTTACCTACAGGATTGTTGATAGAATATTTTCACAGGTTGGTTCCCGAAATTGTTCCTGCCTAGACCTTCTTCAAGCTAAGTTACATAGTATGATGTGAAACTTTTTATTTGATCTCCATGCATGTTGTGGCTATGTTTCTCCTTTAGGTTCCTAGGAAGTTTACGAGTAAAGTTGAAGGGAAGATGAGTTATGAAGATTTTGTGTACTTCATTCTTGCCGAGGAAGACAAGTCTTCCGAGCCTAGTCTTGAGTATTGGTACACATGTCCCCCCCTCTGTGTTGATGTTGGTTTTTCTTAATGTTACTTTAGATCACAAGATCTTGATATATATACTACAACCGAGTCAAAACCAGTGACATATGTAGACTTGTCCATAACAAGTCCCCTTTCTCTGATATTATTTACTAAGCATTGTATAGTATCATTTTTTCATGAACATAGGATCATTGTTTGCGCCAACAATCTAACATGTTGGTCACTGTTCATCAATTTTTGATGAACCGAAAACACTCCCTTTGAACCTCTGATATGATACGAGTTCATAGCCTAGTATGTTCATCTATCTACTATGGATGTCAGACTCAATATTTTTGCATGTCCGTGTATTTTTCTTGACAGCTATCGAAATCTTCTGTGCAGGTTCAAGTGTGTAGACTTGGATGAAAATGGCGTAATCACTCCAAACGAAATGCAGTTTTTTTTCGAAGAGCAGCTGCATCGCATGGAATGCGTAACCCAGGAAGCTGTTCTTTTCAGCGATATCCTATGTCAAATAATTGACATGATTGGACCCGAGGTTAGTTACTTTACATAGGAGAATATGGTTGGTTGTTTGATTTTTCCGAGCTCTTTTTTTTTTCTTTTATTATTTATTTGACTGGAATCATCTATATGGTGAATGTCCTTGCAGAAAGAGAACTGCATCACCTTCCAGGATCTGAAAGGATCCAAACTTTCAGGAAACGTCTTCAATATACTCTTCAACCTTAATAAATTCATGGCATTTGAAACACGTGACCCATTTCTCATTCGCCAGGTAAGTTTGGCTTTCCAGTGGAGTTTTTATAGGACTCATAGAGGAAAAAAATAACAAAGAATATGACTGCTTAACTGCCTAGTAGTTCGGATTGATGCAATTAGAAGAAGTATAATTCTCTTTCATTGCTGTAGGAAAGGGAGGATCCAAATTTGACAGAGTGGGATCGTTTTGCTCAGAGAGAGTATGTGAGATTGTCAATGGAGGAAGATGTAGATGAAGTCTCAAATGGGAGTGCAGATGTCTGGGATGAACCACTCGAACCTCCATTTTAGTCCATAGTGGTAAGTTCACACTGCTTGTGTATAGGAAATGCAAATGCTTATAAATTTTAGTAAAAATTCTGTGATTTATTGAGTCGAAAACGATCTTGACAATAGAAACCTTCCAAAATTTAGTAGACTTATGATTTGAGGTTTTCCCTGGAGATAGATCGATGATCAGAGATTGGAGGTCACTGTTGTTTCCAGACGTTTCTGGCAGTGAAGGAGATTCATCATCATCTGCAAAGAGTCTCAACCAAATTCATGAAATTTTTGCAATTTTTTTTTTTATTTCATTATAGGACTATTTCAAGTTGGGCCCTCTCTCCCTCTACATCATCTAATGTCCATATAAACAGTTGGATTGTCTTATAATGAAATAACAAAGTAACAATGTACAAAAAGATTCTGGATTCTATTTTTTTTTTTTCCCCTTTTGATATGAAGTTTCATTTGATCTTTAATACGAGATAGCTTGAGATTTCGAAACTAAAATATGGTTTGATAAGATCGAATTGTGTAGCATTTTTTCAAAATACGAATTGATGTAGTTTGATAAAACATTTAAGAAAAAGGTCCAACTCTGAAATCTGAATTGTTTATACTCTTTAGTCTTTAGTGTTACACGTTGCATTGATATATTTTAACTTAAAAAAAAATGAAATCTGAATTGTATATCTCTCTAGTCTTACACTAGGCCCGGGCATTCGGGTACCCGTTCAGGTTCGGTTCTTTTTTTTCGGGTATCGGGTCTATTCGGGTAGGGGGTCAAGACCCATTCGGGTATTCTAAAAATTTGGTTCGGGTTCGGTTCGGGTTCGGGTCGGTTCGGGTATTTTAATAAAAAAAGCAAAATACCCGAAAATAACCAAAAATACCCGAAATATTTTCGGGTTCGGGTCGGGTTCGGGTTTTTAACTCATATATACCCAAATCTAACCGAAATACTCGATTTATCGAAAATACAATGGTTAATTTTTACCCAAATATAACCAAAAATATCTAAAATACCTAATATATTCGGATTTATGATTGTAATTTTAGGTATTTCGGGTATTATAAATATAAATATAACTAATATTTATAGGTGTATATTTGTATTCAGGTACATTCGGGTACATTCGGGTATTGGATTCGGTTCGGGTTCGGTTCGGGTAGGAGGTTAGGACCCATTCGGGTATTTTTAAAAATCGGGTTCGGGTTCGGTTCGGGTATTGTTCGGGTTTTTCGGTTCGGGTATTCGGTTCCGGGTATTTTGCCCAGACCTATCTTACACGTTGCATTGATTATATCTTTTTAGTTAAAATGAGAAGACATTATTATTTTTTCTTAGAGTAATTGTACCCTATATCATTTGACTTGAAAGTAATTGAGTCAAAGGAAAAGTGGTAATATAGTAAATTTTGATGATATAATTTACCCCTAAATATGACGAAAATACCCTACTTCTTCAACCTTTCTGTGCATTTTTTCTCCTGTGCTCCCTTCCTCCATCTCTCCTCTTACTTAATCTCTCATAATTTGAATTAAAGAAAAATGATTGATTTTCTGGGTATTCTTCTCCATTTAATTGGTATTACAATTTTTTTTTCTTTCTCAAATCCCCAAAACCGTTTCTATTTGTTTTCTTTTCTCCATATTCAGATCTTTTTCAATCCATTGAGTAATTTGATTTTTCTCACTCGGTCCTTTTCCTATTTCACTCGATCTTCTAGAAATTTTCTGAAATTTCAGACTTTTCCGACGAGCTCCTCAGCCTCTCCGGCGAGCTCCATCATGCTCAACCACATCCGATTCTCAGGTAATCTCTTTCTCATCGATTTTTCAAACAGTTAATCGATTTTGAGTTATTTGTTTTTCTGCCTTCACAATAACTCCACCTGAAATCTTTCTGTCAGATACTTTCTGGTTCATCCATAAAAACCTGTCTAGTGTAGACACAAGGGAGAGATTAGATGTTACCTAAGATGAAAGGTGATGTTGGCGGTCGGATTCATCGAAATTTTTTGAGACTATCCGATAGGAAAGAAGACGAAGGAGTTGTCTATTGATTCATTGAATTGGGAGCTGCCGTGAAATAGGCAGAGGCTGAAACTAATCTCTTCTCTTTTAATATAGGAGTATTTTGGTCATCTATTTTTTTTTCTCTCTCTTATCTTGCAAACACAAAAATATCTTTAGTATATAATTAATTACTTTCAAAAATACTGGTACGCACCTAATTGACTCTTTTTCTTATAGTTGATAGAAGGTGCAAGTCACGCGTTTAATGTGCGCGTGTTTAGTTAATTAAACTTGTATATAGAGTAAGCGCGTGGTTATATTACAAAACACGAGATAACCCTAGAAAGATCTCTCGATCTCTGGTTCGAAGAAATCCACCAACTCCGATTGTTTCTCTTAGACAAACCCAAATCAATAAATTCGTTCCAATTCCAGTGTGCTTCGGAAATGGCATCCTTCAAGTTGATGTCTTCTTCCAATTCCGATCTGTCTCGCCGTAATTCTTCGTCTGCTTCATCTTCCCCTTCTATAAGATCGTCGTCTCACCATCTCCGACCAAATCCTCTCGCCGATCACTCCCGAATCAGTTTCGCTTACGGCGGAGGCAACGATTACACTTTCGCGTCTGATTCAAAGCCCTTCGAGATGGCGATTGATGTTGATTGGAGTATCGGAGATCGGAACAGCGTTAACAACGGTAAGAGTGTGGACGATGTTTGGAAAGAGATTGTATCTGGAGAGCAAAAGGCCATCATGATGAAGGAGGAAGAACAAGAAGATATGATGACGCTTGAGGATTTCTTAGCCAAAGCAGCAATGGATGACGGAGGTTCAGATGAAATTGATGTTAAGATTCCACCGGAGAGACTCAACAACGACGGTAGCTATACATTCGATTTTCCGATGATGTCTCAGCCGCAGCGACACAGTTCGTTTCAGATGATTGAAGGATCAATGGGTGGAGGAGGAGGAACAATGAGAGGAAAGAGAGGGAGAGTGATGACGGAGGCAATGGATAAAGCTGCTGCTCAGAGACAGAAGAGGATGATCAAGAACCGTGAATCCGCTGCTAGGTCTCGAGAGAGGAAACAGGCTTATCAAGTTGAGTTAGAGACTTTGGCTGCGAAATTAGAGGAAGAGAATGAGCAGCTTTTGAAGGAGATTGAAGAGAGCACTAAAGAGAGATACAAGAAGCTCATGGAGGTTCTGATTCCGGTCGATGAAAAACCAAGGCCACCATCTAGGCCCTTAAGCAGAAGCCATTCCTTAGAATGGTGAAGAGTTGTAACAAAACTTTTGTATGTAAAAAAATAAAAACATATGGGCTTGATTACTATATTATAATCTTTATAGTAAAGTGATGGTGATATGGTTACTACTTTGTTACCTGTAGTGTCTCTCAGGGATGTAATGTATTATAGCTTTTGTTGATTTTTTTTTATATCGTATCGACTAGACTAGAGGGATAAGTTCCTTTTTCTAAACATTTGTTCCCTAACAATTTTGTTGGTTGTTGAGAAATTAGAAAGTGTGGTTGGTTGTGTTTGATTAGGCAGGAGCAGAGAGTATTTCGTCTTCTTTATTCTCTTGGCATCGATTTAGCATCTCAAGTTGGCGTCGTAAATGCAAAACCTGTAACCAACCAAAGCAAAACGAATTAACTGATTTTACTACATTTTTCTCATCTAATGGATTCAGCCTTAAAAAGAGTCCTTAGCTACATGAGGTAATCCTCAGACTATATAACTCAGTTTCGATTCTGTTTCTTTTCCTCAGAATTAGAAAATATATAACTCAGATTCCAAGTGAAGAATGGCTTTAGTTATGTACCTCTTGTTGAAGCAAATTCGGGAGGCTAACCATGGAAATTAGCTGTTTCATTTCTTGCAAAAGTGACTGGTCTTTGATACCTGACCACGTCTGTGGAGGTAAAGCCAACAGAAGAGCAGTGAATACATCGTTCTCGGATGGGTAAGCTACCACTGTCACTTTCTCCTCACCAAGACCTTGATGTAAAACAAAAAGAAAAAAGTGATTTCTTGAATAGAACTTTGCACACTACTAACTTCAAACCAAGTTTTCTTGAATGCTAGCTGAAAAATGAAGGTATCTTTTGGATTTTATAAGTCACAAGCTAGCTTAATAACTATCCATCCTGTAACATGATCTAGGGCTAAGATTAGTGATGATAAATTAGTAGACTAGTTTGTTGCCGGTTCATTGGAATATAAACTTCCAATATTAGAAAGATTCCAAGGTGGTTAGGTAAGTTCTGATTGCGACTTTCAAAAATGTCCGAAATCTATTTATGGAGACACTATCCGTCAGTACTGGACACGGATCCCTGTCCCTAAGCACTTCGTCGTACCAATCAATGACTATTAAAAAGATAACCAGAATGCAAGAAGAACTAACATACCTTTGATACATTTGACACAAGTTTCCTCACAACAAGACTCATCTGATTCATATCCCGATAAGATTTCATCTCCTTTGTAATAAACCTTAGCAGCAACATATGGCAGATTGTCTTCGTAACCCACAGAGGATAGAAACTTATCTACGTGCTTGAACAGTTTAGTTTCTTGCACTTGTTTCAGTAACTCTTGCTACAGCAAAACGAACCGTAGAACAGTGATGAATATATTGATGAAATATAAACATGGAAAACTCAAGTTCAGAAACAAATTGACAAGATAATACCTTTGAGTCGAGCCTTGATTTCTCTTCTGAGCTAAGATTTTGATTTACATCCTCTATTCTTCGAATCTCAGCCATCCATTTGATAAATTGGTTGAAATTTGCTGGAAGTGACTTGAATACAACATATACAACTCTGAAATCGATAATAATCACTCAGCGTCCAATTTGAAAGAAATGTCTTTGTAATAGCAGCAACTACTAATAGGATGACTTTGGACTTACAAGTGTATAGAGCAATCCTGGTTCTCTGTGGGGTCTCGATATAAGCATGAACCTGGAAGTTAAGCAGAATAACAGAAAAGCGAATTGGGTAAGAAAGAAACGGATTACAGTCTTTACTCATAGAAGAAAAGCCTAAGAAAAAGAAAAAAGATAATGCACCCTCTACGTCTCCCTGTTGACTGATCAATACTGTCCATGGCATCCCAAAGAAGTTTAAGAGGAACCCAGTGAGGAGGATACTTGAAACGAGCGACATCAAGAATCAAAGCCATATCTCTTTCAGCGTTATAACCACCAATAGGTGAAAAATGGCCTGTTCCAGTCTGCAATCAGATACATTAGAATCCGATCAACATGGGACTTTATAGCCAGACATGAAGGGTAGTGAAATTCACTTGTAATAAAACTGCTGTTATTATACAGAGTTTAGGCCAAATAAATGGTACCTGCTTGAGTACTTGTCTATGATATGTTGAGATCATATGACAATTATCAGAAGTGGAACATTTGACCACGTATTTGCGGAAATCATCAATGGTGCTCTGATTTGTGCGGAAAGCTTCGACTTTTGCTCCTGAAGAATGAGCCAAACAGACAACTTTACCAAACGAAATGCCTTTATCCTTCACTATTTCAAGGGGCTCGCAACATTCCAGCATTGATTCATCAAACCACCTCCAAGGCCCTGTGGAAAACCAAAAAAATTCAAAAAGCCACAACAAATGTGGTAATCTAGAAGATAGAAGTCTCCGGTAGAGGTATACCTTTCCATTTTCTCCCCGGGTCAATAGAAAGAGAGTTCAAAACCATAGAAAGACTAGCTAACCCACAAAAAGCTGGCTCAGACTGAGTCTGAAAATAAGAAATCAGCCTGAAAAATCCTTCCATAGTGCCTTTCTGAAGCGCTTCATTGAAGATTTGCTACAAAGACAATGTCAAAAGTTAAATTCTCAGGGCTATCAAAACCATTTATCAGGGAGCATGCTTAGATCTCTCTCACCAACAACTAAACTTGTAAAAGCAGCAAGGGGTTTAGGGTTTTACGAGTTTTACACAGTTCCCAAGAAAACAATCCAATTTCTAAATTCTAGACGTAACCAAATCAATCCACAGAAAGAAAGAAAGAAGAAAACCCAAAAAATCAGTGATCGTCTCTAACCGGAAGCAAAAGAATAGTTAAAACCCAGAACCCTAATTTTCAAATCCATGGATCGAAAAAAGTTGAGAATACGCACCTTGCCTTCAACAGAAGCGAAATCTATCGCCGGCGGGGTAGTAAGAGACCGCCGATACAAACTCGCCATAGACATTGTCAGAGTTTGCGCACAAAAGAGCAAACTTGCACCGAAAGAATCGGGGATGGGTTCGAAAACAATGGATAAGAAGAGCTCTCTACGAACTATCGAAAAAATGGAGAAATGCTTTCCATATAAAGAAGAGTAACGTTCGGAGAGGAGTTTCAAATGCGGATTCAATGGAGTCCGAAGAGGGAGAGACACAAGGTTGGTAAAGTCAAATGTGTAAACCGCGGAGACTGATACTCCCATTATCGTCCGGTTATTTATCCGGTTTATATCGGTTTGGGAATAATTCTGATTTGAATATTAATTGACCTTTGACCAGACCTACTTTTTTTCTTTTTTCTTTTTTGCAACTGGGAAAATTGTTATTTATTTTATTCTTACACCATGCCAAGGCAGATTATACCTAAACAGATAAAATAAAAACAATTCCTCCCAAAGAAATATGGTTCTCTAATTCATTACCTCTTAACGATATATTTTAGACTACTATATTAATTTTATCTTAATTAAAACATATCATGAACATAATCTCTCTAGAAAATTCGAAAACCGACCATTAGCGTGCATTATATATCCTAGTAACCAACCAAAGCTATATATATGTTATTTTCAGGCAAATTCCAAACTCTTCTATTATCTTAATTTAGGTATAAGTGGAGATTGATATCAATGATCCTGCATCAGACATTGAATATCAATCATAGATTCTGTCTGAGATCCACGTGCTCGTCGTGACGATCTTGTAGACCCACCATTTACAGAATCCTTTGATTTTTTCCGACGAGATTTTCTACAACCATCGTTAGGAATATCAGGAGATTCCTTTGATCTCCGTGAAACTTTAGGGTTTCCACTGCAATGCGAAGATCCACGTCGTGGTCCTTCTTTTGTTGGTGAACCACCTAAAGTGCTCCAACGCTCTCTCGACGATTTTTGAAGTCCCGGTTTATCACGTGACCGTGTCAAATCTGCATGTAAATTACAACCTTTTTTTTTTTTGAAATATCTGTAAGTATACATTTCTAATTAGATAGTTAATTTACCTTCAGAAATGCATGAAGCATCCTCCTTGATATTTCCCGATACTTTAAAATCATTCATCTACATTGAATTTATTTATCTTTGATTATGATAATGATTTATTTTTATAAATACCAAAGAAATCGAAAGAAAAGTAAATAAACAAATACGTCGGTACCCAGCTGGGTGGATTTTGATTGACAGATCCTCCATCCCAACCAATGTGAGCAACATGCTTTACATCTGTTGGACTTCCAATTTGCATCTCTTGCTCTTTCTCATTTTCTTCACTATGCACAAAATGTTATACAAAAATTATAAGGATACATTTCGGAGAAGATAGTTAGTATATATATATATATACAGCGAGTAAAATAACTCACCAAATATTTGAGAAATATACCTAAGACCCTTCAAGAGACTCTTTATTTTGTAGTTCGACATAACGAAATCGCCAAAACAATTCAAAATAGTTTCTAGGAGAAAAAAAGAAGAAGATATTTTTGCGTGTTGTCTAATTTTTTTTTCCTCCTGGAAACTATAAGAATGAAATGAATTCAAAATTGAAAAGAAATCACGTAATTTTCCATTTCCGCTCGATTAAGAGCGATTATTGATGATTTCAAATAAATCATTTTGATTTAACATTCTACGACCTGTAATTTTCTTTCTCCAAGAGAAAAAAAAAAAGAAAAGGTTGAATCAAGATATTCAGTTATGACTTATGAACAAAGAGAAATGGGAAGAAGAGAATGTGGAGAGCTGAAATCATTGTTTTCTGTCTCCAGATATTGAACTAATAACGAACGTGATGGACGAAAAAAAAAAACTAATTAAGTGAACGACAATTAGTTGAAAGTGGATTTGTAATAAATTGATGAGGCTAATTTGTTTGTTTATGTTCTGTATTGCAATCTTAATTAATTTGGTAAAACTGTAAAAAGAATCAGCAGTTGTTAGCAAAAACAAATTAATTATTGGGCACTAATTGATAAAAATAAAATACATACTTGACATTTAGATTGTTCTGTTTAGAGACCAGCCACTTGTATTAAATCATTGTTAGAAACTAGAACCGACTAAGAAAAGGAACCGGAAAATTTAAGGTGATGCTCTTTTTTGGAAAAGAACAATATTTTCTCATGTTCTTTTACCAGTTATAGTTGTACTCAAGAGTAGTGCAAAAAAAAAGCTGTACTCAAGAACATATTGTCCACATAATGAAAATAAGGTTATTGATATTAGTTGTAAATTATACCGACGAGTATCCAAGATTTTTCACCAAGGTAAACGAAAGTTTATTTTTTGTTGCAAAGCTTTCATAAAAATGTTGATAAATGATTTGCTATTAAATATTATTCGCAGTTTTTTTTTCTGCTAAATCATTATTCGAAGTTTCAATTCCAATTCTAGTCTTAATACATTGAAGACCTAGAATCTTCGGTGTCATAACGAACAAATCATGCCATAAGGAAAAAATAGACAATTATTGACACCTGGAAAAAATGGCTGTAATGATATACAGCCAAAACAAATAATCAATTGATATATAGTTGATATGTTGGTGGTGGAATTATATGTTCGGTGATCTCAAAAATACACATGTAACATATAATGTACAACAGTACAATGCAGCGTTTGTCACGTGGACTCCTGATGTATCTCACACCTGACTGAAGACACATTTACGTATTCGTATACATCACACGTGATATTACTCGTATCCATCCGTACGTGGTCTCTTTTTACAGACACAAACAAACATAATCTCAAAACTCAAAAAATAAACAATCTCTTTCAAGGTTTGTTTTGTTCCTTCTTTCAGATTACCCAACAGTACTTAAGGAACCGCCTTACACTTTCAAACCCTAAGCGCTTCGCATGTCTGTCTATATATATGTTTGAGTAAAGAAGAAAGCGGAAAGAGTAAAGAAGAGAGAGAGAGAGAGAGAGAGGGGATATGAAAGCTGAGAGAGATGGTAGGAGGAAGAAGAAGATTAGGGAAGAGAGGAAGCCCTTGGTTGAGATGGAGTGCGAAACAAGAAAGCTTCAGCCATGGATTCTCACAATCTGACCTCCAAGCTCTCTCTGCCATTTGCGACGCTATTATGCCCCCTGTTCCATTAGAGAGTTTAAATCTTGAGATGAAGTTGAAGGTTTTACGCAACGATGCACTCTTATCTTTCTTCAAATCTTCTACTTCTGAGTCTCATGTTCGACCAGATGAGGTTGTTTATCTCCAACTTTCTGTCTTTCTCTGTCATCTCAATAAAAGACACTAGAATGAATATAATTATTAAAAGCATAATCTTTAATGTAACATTCAGGTATATATAGAGTGATGAATATCTAGATTTTACTCTTACGTGATCTTCAATGTACAAGTTAATGCTTACGTGCATTTGAAATGATGATAAATTGATTAAAAATCAGGTGGCAGAGCTACTGGCGACCAAGGCAATACCATTGACAGTTTTAGTGGTGAGAATAGTTTTGAGGATACTCACATTCAGACTGGGGACGTTACTGCTTTGCGGGTTAGTCTGTCTTGATATGAAGAATTGGCCTTTCCTTCTCAAATTCTCTGAAATGTCCCTGGAGAAGAGGGAAAAGGTTCTACAGAGATGGAACACACAGTGGTATAACCCACTTGCCAGAATCGGTTTTATGATGATCAAAGCCATCTTCTTGTTCTACTACTTCACATGGGTAAGTCTTCCATCTTCCTCTGCATATTTCTGTAACAGGTCATTCGCTTTTGTTAGAGACTATGGAAGTGTTTGTATGGACATTTCCAGTAGTATGAGTCTTTGACTATGAACAAAAGAAGGTGCAAACATGAAACATTAGGCATATATACTTTAAAAGTTATGCTCGCTGGAATTGATTGGTTCGGTTATGATGTGTGGTTCTATTCCCACAAAACGGCTAGGTCGCTAGGACTAGTGCGATGTCTTCAACCAGATGGTTGTGTTTCTAATCCCTATCATGGTTCAAAACAAGTTTTTTTCAACCAGCATGAACTTTGTCATATTTTATTACCTGTGTATATATGTATAACTAATTCGTTTGTATGAACAGACGAATGAAAATACAGAAAACCCAGCATGGGATGCAATTAATTATAGAGTGGAAATAGGTGAAAACGAGGGCATGGAACAAAAGGAAAGACCTCTAGATCAAGGGATCATCGAGACTGCAAAAGAAGATGAGATGACCATCAAGCAACGTATGATCAACAAAGGCCTTAAAGTCACAGAAGACAGAGATAGCGACACTTACAAGATCGAGTGTGATGCAGTGGTAGTGGGTTCTGGTTGTGGCGGAGGAGTTGCAGCTGCAATCCTAGCAAAGTCGGGCCTTAGGGTGGTAGTTATTGAGAAAGGGAACTACTTTGTCCCCAGAGACTACTCGGCTCTCGAGGGTCCTTCCATGTTTGAGCTGTTTGAGTCCAATAGCTTGTTGATGACTCATGATGGCAGGTTCCGGTTCATGGCAGGATCAACTGTCGGTGGTGGCTCTGTTGTAAACTGGGCGGCGTCCTTAAAAACACCTGACGCTATCATCGAAGAATGGTCAGTGCATCGAGGGATTTCAGTATATTCTAGTGAGAAATACAAGGCGGCGATGGATAGAGTCTTAAAGAGGTTAGGTGTCACTGAAAAAATCAACAGCGAAGGGTTTCAGAACCGGATTCTGCGGAAAGGTTGCGAGAAGCTTGGTTTGGATGTGACAATAGTGCCAAGGAATTCAACAGAGAAACATAATTGCGGTAGTTGCTCGTTTGGATGCCCAACCGGAGAGAAAAGAGGGACAGATTCAACCTGGCTGGTTGATGCAGTTAACAACAATGCTGTGATCCTAACACAGTGCAAGGCTGAGAAACTGATCTTGGCAGATAACAATGCTCACCAAAGAGAGGAGAGCGGACGAAGAAAAAGATGTTTGGGAGTCACAGCTTCTCTATCCAACCGAACCAGAAAGAAACTTCAGATCAATGCCAAAGTGACAATTGTGGCTTGCGGTTCACTTAAGACACCAGGACTGTTGGCTTCAAGCGGGTTGAAGAATCCAAACATTGGTCGCGGTCTCCATATCCACCCTATTCTGATGGCTTGGGGCTACTTCCCAGAAAGAAATTCAGACTTCCAAGGAGCGGCTCATGAGGGAGAGATCGTGACTTCATTACATTATGTGCATCCAATGGAGGACTCCACCACACCTAACATCACACTGGAGACTCCTGCTATAGGGCCAGGTACGTTTGCAGCTCTCGCCCCGTGGGTCTCTGGGCCAGACATGAAGGAGAGATTGGCCAAATACGCAAGAACATCTCATATTTTTGTCATGGTGAGAGATGAAGGAGTTGGAGAGGTGAAAGGAGACATTGTCAAATACAGATTAACCAAAGCGGACGAAGAGAATCTGACAACCGGGTTAAAGCAAGCACTGAGGATCTTAGTAGCAGCAGGAGCAGCGGAGGTGGGCACATACAGGAGCGACGGGCAGAGAATGAAGTGTAGTGGAATCAAACAAGAAGATGTAGAGGCGTTTTTACAAGCCGTAAACGCGCCAGCTGGAGTAGTGTCGATGAGTAAGCATTGGACACAGTCCTTTACAGCGCATCAAATGGGATGTTGCCGTATGGGTGCAACGGAAAAGGCAGGAGCTATTGATGGAAAAGGAGAGAGTTGGGAGGCAGAAGATTTGTATGTATGTGATGCAAGTGTTCTGCCTACAGCTCTTGGTGTTAATCCTATGATCACCGTTCAGTCCACTGCTTACTGCATATCCAACAGAATAGCCGAGTTAATGAAGAAGAAAAAGAAAGACTGATAAAATGTGTGTCAAAAGTTTCAAGCTTTGTTTTTATTTTACTGTTATGAATAAAAAGAAGCAGCCTTTATATAATAGATTAGCACTTTGAAGATGCTGGTATCGAAAACATAAGAGAGAGATCCAATGTGCTGAAGAAAGCAAGAACAAACTCTATGCTTTCCCAGCTATCTTATCAATGCTTAATGGCCTCACAACACAATCTTTTCACTAATTGAGATATCAATTCAATCAAAATTCAACGCAAACGCAATCGTAGTTTTTTTTTTTTTTTTGCAATCGTAGTTTCAAAACAGATATACATGATCTAATGATCTCTTCCACAAACTCTAAAAACAGAGATCCAATAACTGCATAGAGCTTTTTTAAACATCAATAACTGCGACTATACTAAGCCATCACCAAATTTTGTCTTCCAGAGAATGACGATCTCGTTCGATTCTAAGATCCATCCACGAAGTTCAATAATTAAAATTGATCTTTTTTCTTATATCGATTTGTATAGATCTTTACTAACTTTGGAACCATCAAAATCCATACACACAATGAGAAAAGGGTTAAACTTTGACTGTTCAATTTTGAAAATATAATCCATTGGCTAATTGATATTTCCGATGTACAAAACAAGAACATCTACTTCAACAACAAACCCTAAATTTTCTCAATTGATTTCTGAGGAAGACGATGAAGACGATGAGAAGAGAAGAGAGAGCGAGAGAGTAAGCTTTACAGAGAGGATTTAAAAAAAATATTTGAAAAAAAGAGAGAGACGAAGAAGGGGAAGGTTCCGGTTTTAACGCTGTCTCGCTTGCCGGGCGACAGACCAATGATCTATCTCCACGTGGCCACCAGATTACGCCGATCAGAGTTTGAGAAACCGGGCAAGCTGGGTAGGATTGACGATGCCGGGCAGATGGGCCCCGTCTGACCGGAGAAGATTAGCAACCTCCACATACCTCTTCCGTTTCGGCTCACTTTCCTCAGCCGGCCCAATAATATGGCTCGGCTTTACCTTCCTGGGCTCCACTGATTGGGCCGAAAACGGACCGGCTTGGGCTCGAGCCGGGTTCCATTGCTCTCCGAAGAGTGTGCCGTTGGTGAGGAACTCGTGGCTCAGATAACCGGCTAACATCAATTGGTTCGAGCCGACCGGCTCGGCTGCTGCGATTGAAGATTTCCTGGAAATGGGATTTACCGGCGGAGGAGCAAGATTCGGCGGCGGTGGGGTAAACTTGGCGACGGCGATTACCGGCGGTTTATCGGTGACGGAGGAGATGAAGGCGTCTCTTTCTTTGCGCTTATCCGCCGTTAGAATGCGACGTGGAGGAAGACGCATCGTTTTGGTGTTCATGGTGATTCTCTATTGGATGCATGCCACGTCAGCACCCAATAAAAAAATTGAAATATTGACTGTTGTAAAACAGTCAAATCGAATAATAGGGTGAAAAAAGAAAACCAAAATTCGTAGAGATTTTTTTGTATTTTTTTATTGCGAGCGAATAAAATCGAAGCGCTTTTAGAGAGAGAGAGAGAAAGAGAAATAGGGAAAGAAAGGATAACTAACAGAAAGGTCACGGGAATGAGTAGGTTACTACAATTTATAGAGGCTGGAGATTTAGATACCCTTCACTTTTCAATTAAATTACATTAATGCCACTCAATTTGAATTTACTGGATTGACCTTTTTTGCTTTACCGTTTCTTCAATTTTGGGTTTCCATAGAAGATAAATTGACTGAATTGTCCTTTTTGTTAGTCTCTCATAAAAGTATCATAAAAGTAGTAGAAAGTTAGAAACAACAAGGAATCAAAATTTAATGAAATCTTGCATCTTTGGCATAAAGTTTTTAAGAGTATGTGAGAAATATATAAAACCTATTTAAAGTAGAAGCTTCACAAACCAATCCTCGTAAAGTCATATACATAAATAAAGTATATGATATTCATTCTTAGTTTCTAAGTTTTTTTTTTTTTTTGGTAAAATAACTCAGAGCTAAGTTTATATTAAAAACACGGTTTTTGATCAGTAATTTTGTGTGGAATCATGATTTATACCGTAACACTATTTTAAATCATTTATATAATATTATTCTGTTACTTATTGGTGTTAAGAAGATCAAGCCATATATGCATAGATATTCTTTTATTAAATTTTATCAACTAATTTATTGCAGCAATTCTTATGCGTGCAACACAAGATCGACCATACAATTGATTTTATTTTACTTTTTGTTTCTGTCAAATTTTCCCTTTCTATTTGTGGCTATATGTAAATGCAGAACACGCATACACGCTAAATGTTAGGGAGAGATTAAAAAAAAAAAAAAAAAAAAGATTCAAGTAGACTTTTTCCTCGTTTACTTTAGAGTTATTTATTAGCAACCTAAACATTATAAAATTTTAACGATGGCGAGAAATCAAATTCTAGAAGCGACACAAAAAAACCTCAAGTACTGTATTGTTTAATAGTAATGGTTGAGAATCCTATTCACTGCTATTTAAATGACAAATAAATCCCATAAATCCCTTATCTATAGGTTTTGCAACTAGTTTGAGTTTTCGATTTATATAATCATTAACATCACAATAATAAAATTGAAACCCATTTTAATGTAATCTGTTCTAGAGAATAAAATGATCTTTACCATACCCAACTATAACTAATTGACACGTAGGATGTAATAATCTTCCATATACTGTAAATTTATAGGTAAAGCAGATCCGAACATATATAGTCTATTATTTTAATAAGGGAAGCAAATTTAGAAAAAATAAAATAAAAAAGGACGCCAAATTTGAGAGGGACCATAAAATTGACTAAAACATTTAATTTCGATACATAAAGTATTAACTCTCATACAAAAAAGGTTCAAAACTCATGTTCAACCAAACCATCAATCTACCTAGCACTTTAATTCTTCCACCTAATTATGCTTTGTTTCCTTTCTCTCTCTCCCAATTGTTTATCAAAAACGTAAAATCCATAAAAAGTAAACTTTCACATCTTATTACTTTAATAATTACTTATACTGGTTCAGTATACAAATAAATATATACCTATTGTTTAATACATTAATACAGTCTACAGATATATTAAATTAATTAAATATGTAAAAAAGTAGGAACTTTATAATTTCAGACGTTAAATACAAAAATGTCGTGTTTATCATATCGATTGCCAACTCAAATGCTACGTTTGAAACAATCAAACAGATGAGAATTAAACAATTAACCAAAATATTCATTGCCAATTTTTTTTTTTTTATCATCATACAATTTTGTACTCAATAAGCTAGAGGAAATGGTACCAACCAAAAGCGAGAACACATACATACTCAGAATTGTTCTGTTTCTCTCAATCGAAACGGAAGAGACCAAATCGCACTTGAAGTTAGAGAAAAAAAAAACTATATTGATTTTATATGGGTTTACTACTTTAGCCGTTTAAGTTCAAAGTAACTGCACTCTTAGCTGTATTCCCAAATATCATATGCCTCGTAATAGAAAATTTTTCACAAAAGAATACCTTTGCGTGAGAAATAGAGAGAGCAATAAGAATTGACCGTTTTGAACCCTTTTTTTTTTTACCATCTTACTGGGAGAGGAAAATGAAGAGGAAGGAATGGTTATTTGCTGTAACAAATTACAAAAGAGAAGAAAAAAATGGTTAAAGTGTGTTGTTTGTGTGAAATCCAATATCCACGATAAAGAGAGAGTTAAGTGTGAGAAAAGATAGAAGTAATGTGACCTGAACGAGGAAGTTTATATGTACTGGAGAAGCATAGTAGCAGATGTGTTCCTCAATCTACAACTTTGCCCTAAGTGAACATCCCCAAAACTGTATCTGCATTAGGTTTCACAATAAAAATTACAGCAACCAAATCAGTAAATTACAGATTTCAGAATCGTAGATAAGATTAAAAAACTATGGATGGGAAGAGGAGAGTGAAACCTGTATTCACAGTATTCTTGCCAAGCACAACAGGCTTTCCCGTAATCCCAGTAGCAATCCGTATCTCTAAGTGGCCCACGCTTGGCTGTGACACGGTATTTATATTTACACCCAAAAGCAATAGAAAGTGATAGAAGAGCCAATAATATTTTTTTTTTTTACCTTTGGTGACAAATTTGGACTTTGCACCAGGCTGAATGTCATGCCACATCTGAAGCCATAACTCCCGCATCAGAACTGGAGATCTAACGATGTTCCTGTGATTTGCTGCACAAAAACAATTATTCAAAAGTAAAATAAGCAGTGCAAGGTACTGTGAGAACATGTTTCATATGTTAATTACTCACTTTTATCAAGCTCCCAGACTGCAGTTCTCTTCCCCGGAATGCTCTCAGAGTCTTCATAAAAGGTTATGTACTTAACCCTTGGCGCTTTTGTCATGTTAGCTATGATGTCTGACCCATGCTCATGTTCAACATTTAGTTTCACATGTACATCACTTCCATCGTGTTCTGGCTGTTTTTTTTTTTTTTTCCAATGAGAATCTCATTTAGTTTAATAAAAGTTCTTGAGGAGTACAGAGATATATGATTTTTAGAAAGGACAAATTATTGGTGACACAACATATAGCCAGAAAAGTGCACTTAAAGATTAATTTATTTATGGTGAAGAACCAAAAAAGAGTACCTGGGGAGCCATTGTTATGTTAACTTTAGGTCCGAGCCAATTCTTGCACCAAGAGAGTGAATGATAGGGTACCTATAAGAGAAAAGTAGCGAAAGTCAATATTGCAGTGTACTAGAGAACATAGCTAGCAGTATTCCAGAAGCAAGCATTATCTTAGTCTTCAGTAGTTGGCAAGAAGATAATTTGAAACCCAACTTCTCAGCTTACCGTCTCATCCCCAGTTATAGGTCCAGCATTCCCATCAACCACAGTTCCCGATCTGCAGATATTGCAGCACGAAGATATGAACTAGTTTACGATTTCTTAGGCATCAGTTTTAAAAGGACGGCTACTCCTAACAATATGAAATTCAGAAGTGGTTAGTTTTTTTTTGCTAGTTATATTTTATATGTGTCATGTTTCATGCAATACCTCTTCCCACTTTAAGCCACTGATCATCCACTAAGCTCAAAAGGAATGATAAAAAAAGAACTTAAGTTTTAGTTGTTTAATACTTTGCTTCTGCAAATGAGATAACATGCCACTAGATTGATACAGAAGACCTTTCATTCCTGTTTTACTTCTGCCATTGCGGAAATTTACCTTGACACAAGGGAACCTTCAGTTTCGTAAATGACATCCGTAATGATCCAATTATCAGGATAAGGTTTGCCACTTGGGGCAAAGTAATAACCAACCTATCACAGACAGCTTCATACATTTAGTATCTTTACCGCTTAATAGCATAAGATGCAAGGGAGCTTAATTCAAAAAAGAAATTGCATTACAAATGGGGAATATAATAACAAAATAGACACATAATGTGATATGGAGAATGCATCATACCTCTGTCTTTAGATGAGCACCATATATGCAAAATACATTTTTTATAGATGGTCTCTCCCAAGGAGTCAGAGGATTAAAAACAGGGTCATCATGATACAACCTGAGAAGTACAGTTAACATGATATATATAATTTTTATTTTGAAGATTGACAAAGATTTGCAGAAAAAAAAACAAAATTGACGCTATTAGTCCGTGCCAGAGTCAAAACAAATAATGTGAAAGTAAATCAACTAACATACCCACTTTGAATTCATAACTGTAAGCGACAAAGACATTCCATAACATAAAGAGAGAACTGATTTGATAGTCAGTAATAAGGTTTCTGATAATACTATTTTCTTATAATAAGAAAGACAAAGCATATGAACAGTTAATATAAAGATTTAAACAAAAAACTTGAAGTGATGAAAAACAAAAAACTTGAAGTACAAGGAGCCAGCAAGTGATGATCGATGAGTAATATTTCTTATCACAAAGGAAGGTACGTACTTCTTTAACTGGTGTAACATCCTCTTGCTATCTGGGTCATAGTCTTCAATTGCTTTGAAAAGAGTCCCATCTGCTAGTTCACGGGCTGTGAAAGACAATAAGGTGGGAAGACCACATTCCATGCTGGTCATGTTGGCTAGAGCTGTTTCTGTAACTGATGGATACGCATCAAAGGAACAAAATATCAGAGTGAACATTCTTGGTGTAACTTTTGGTAGTGTTACAAATGCATATACAGAGTCTTACCGCCAGTGGAAGGAATTTCAATGTTAATGATATTCGTCGGCCAGCCAGAATATTTTGATTGATATTCCTCGTCATCACAGTGGTATACACGCTTATCCTTCTTTGCAGCACCCCCAGAAAAATGCGTCCAGAATGTGTTATCACCCTTGCAATTCTTTGAAAATGGCATAAGCCACAATGAAGAGGCAAAAGAATTGGACAACAACCGAGCAGTTCCCTGAAGCCTTGCCAACAAAAAACATGAGAAGCGCATGTCAATATGTCACATGATTTCAATAAACAAATCATAGCCTATTGAAATAAAAAGATCTCAGTCCAAGTTTCTTCTCAACTTGGAATCTACCATAATAATCTGAAATTTAAATCAGTGTACATGTGGTTTGGTTATATTAGCCAAGGCCGCTGACATGTATATTACTCACAATATGCCTTTGATAACTAGCCACTTTAAGGTCTACAGATACCAGTTCGATTAACATCACTAACAGTTTAAAAGGAAATATCCATTGAATTATAAGACCTGGTTGATATCAACTACTTAAACTAAAAAGAAGTCAGAGGTCACCTCAGAAACAGGAAGGCCAAACGTTACACCAGAGAGAGTAGATTTAATTGCCTCAACTGAACCAAGAAGAGGAGCTCCTAAATCAACAAAAAATCAGGTATTGAGCTCAATCCAGTAAGTCACAACATAACTTCCCGAATTCGAGAAAAAATAAAATGGTAACTTGAGAATATTTGGCCAGTACCAACAGCGAAATAAGCATGGATATGCTGATCTAGCCACTCCAAGTAATGTTTTGGTGCAATTTCTAGCCTCAGCCATTCCAGAAAGTATCTGAAGACATTATTACCCATTGAATGGGCAAATACTATAGAAGGGCCGCCACGGAGTTTTAAAGCAGTTTCAAAGGTCAACCTGCAAAAGAGAAGACGACCAGAGCTCTTTGCTTATCTTACATCAAAAAGAAGAAAGAAAAAGATAGACATTGGCCTCATGAGGACTAACTTGAGCTTGTGAAAGTAAAGGTCACGCTCTTCCAATTTGGTTGGTGACAATCTCCAATCGTATGGAACAGCGACAATTGCATTAGCTTCTATACCAAACTCAACACACCACTTAAGCCACTCTTTCCAGACAGTAGAAAGAGGACCTGAAAATCGACCAAATTAATTTACTTAGCCATATTATCACAACAAGATAATATCACATTCAAGAAAACTCAAAAGAAAAAAAAAAAAGAAAAAAAAACTCAAAACTACCTGTTATGTAACCTGGATCCAATTCTGTGATTGCTGAAAGACCACTGTCAGGCCGTGACTTACACTCGGGATGGTCTGTTTGATTATAAGGATCCAGTACCATACACTTAAACCAGCAGTTGACAGCAGAAAGAAGCTGTAAACCATCACGTCGATCAGTAATCAACTACCAAATGAATCACAATGCACAAGTAAAAACGTCTAGCCTATTCCACGGGTGGCAACTCCTATATGACCTAACATTTTCCAACTATTGAGCACTCTTCTCCTTGAAAAACTTGCAGATCTAGTTGAATAAAAAAGCAAAGACTAATTTCACATTCATTGCGCTATTTATTGAACCAAAAGCGATGGAAAACACTCGCGGAGTCGGCTGTTTTCTATGACTCTAATCTCAAATTAATGAATCAATAAGAGAGACGATACATGCTTCATTGCAATATTTCGCTTGGATTTCATCAACAAGGAACTCGACCGACAGAATAAGGAGCGAAGGAAATGAAGATCACGCACCTTAGTGGTGTCTAGCCATACGAGGTCGAGCGGATTGAAGTCCAACGGAGTGTATGGACAGTCAAGGATCGACCACGCTCGTAGCTGCGTCGACGCAAATCCGGGAATGATTATACCCGAAAGCTTCGAGTAGTCGCCGTGAAACTCGGTCTCATCCTCCACCGCAGCTCCGCCACCGCAAATCAAGAAAAAAACGGCGATGACGGTGAAGGAAGCCGTTACTGATTTCGAATTCGCTCCCATCGCTCGGTGTCTCTAACTACTTTTCATCGCCAGAGTTTAGGAGGAAAAGTAAGAGAGAGGAGAGAGAGAGAGAGAGAGAGAGTGTGTGTGCGTTGTTGGGGACCTTGGAGGTGAGAGTTGAAAAGTTTTTGGAACCGTCCTAACTTTCCAAATATACCCCTAGAAGAACCTTCGGAGTCATCTAGAAGGTTACTCCCGAGTCCCTATCACGTCGTAACAAACAAAAGGGCTTTTTATTGGGCCTTTGAAACTGGAAATTGAAATTATTTCAAAATTTTCGTAACAAACAAGCGGGCGTTTATTAACATTTTCTCCCGCTTAATCAAAACAGAAAAACCCCGCCTATCTTCCCGCCATTTGATATCTGTCGTACACGTGTCCTTAGACTCTCAAAGTAAATACCAATCGCACGGAGACGAAGCAAGGAAGTGCATCTTCTCCTTGTCTTCAGCTTCAAGAGCTTTCGTCGTTTAGATCTGGTTTTTGGATACTAATGGCGGAATTTACAAACATGCTGATGAATCCATGGGTTCTTCATCTCCAGAAGCTCGAGCTCGAGCTCAATTGCCCTCTATGGTTAGTTCCGTCCACTGCTTCCTTTTTTCCTTGATTACATTGTAGATCAATCGAGTATTTATATAGTGTTCTTGGAATCGTAACAATCAATTTACGTAATTTGCAGCTTGAAATTGCTTAATCGACCGGTGTTGCTTCCATGCGACCACGTCTTTTGCGAGTAAGATTATCTAACCCCTCTGTTATTTTTTACCAGTTCGTTACAAAATTGAATTCAAATAGTTTCTTATCTTTCTGGAAATTATTTGGCAGTTCATGTGTACACAAATCGTCGCAAGTCGAAACAGGCTGTCCTGTCTGCAAATCCAAACATTCCAAAAAGTGTAAGTCGATTTGATATTCATCTGATAATGGAACTCTTTCTGTGAAAAATTTGTATTAAGTAATATTTACTCTCATCTGCAGCTCGGAGGAATCTTCAATTTATGGAGAGTGTTATAAGCATATACAAAAGCTTGAATGCAGCTGTTAGTGTTCATCTCCCACAATTACAGATTCCGAATGATTGCAACTACAAGGACGATGCCCCTAAACACGGCGGATCTGAAGATTCTGAGATGACTGATAAGGATGTGAGCAAGCGCAGTGGTGGTACTGATTCCTCTTGTCGTGATGGTTCTCCTCTTCCGACCTCAGAAGAAAGCGATCCAAGACCTAAACATCAGGATTGGACTGCTGAGCAGTTGCGTGATCATCTCTTATTATATGAGTTTGAATCAGAGAATGATGCTGGCAATCACGTAAGAGCATATTATTGAACATTTTGATTCATCAGGCGGTTTTCGTTTTCTTTTCTATATCAGTGCACAACATTAAAAGATGTGTATAAATTCCTTTTTCTTTTCTTGCTGCAGACACCGGAAAGTTATACAGGACAAACTGCAAACAATGTGAGGGACATCAGTGCTTCTGAGCAGCCTGCCAATGCTGCAAGGAAGCGGATTTGTGGTGATTCCTTTATCCAGGAAAGCAATCCAAATCCTAAGACTCAGGATCAAACTTTGCTGCGGTTGATGGAGAGCCTCCGGTCAGATGATCCCACTGATTATGTTAAATCACAGAAACATCAGGTGCATTCTCGTCTTGCTTCATAAGTTGACCATTTTGGTTCATCAGTTATGAGTATTCTTAATCCCACATTGATGTTAATAAATGGTGTACTTTGGTTTTTGGAAAATATATATAGTTTTGTTCTGTGCTTGAGATCAAACAACTTAAGATGTGTATTGATCTTTTGTCTCCAGCCGTTACCCAAGAGTCATACAGAACAAGATACTAAAAGGAAGCGTGACATCACCGCTTCCGAAGCAATGGAAAATCATCTGAAAGTTCCCAAGAGGGAGAAGAACCTGATGCAAAAAGCTGCTGATATTGACTTCAATGATAAATGCTCTGCAAACTCTGATGATCAACTAATTGAGAAAATCTCAAAGGCATCAGATAAACCACCATCCAACATAACTATTTGTGGATTCTGCCAATCCGCTATGGTATCTGAGGTAAAACCGTAAAAGTCTTTGCCGTATCCTCTGCTCTAAAAACTAAGCTTTTCTATTTGTGAAGTATTTTACTCAATTGGCTGGATCAATATTTGTTAGGCTACTGGAGAAATGCTGCATTACTCTAGGGGAAGACCAGTGGTTGGAGATGACATCTTCCACTCCAATGTTATCCATGTCCATAGCGCATGTATCGAATGGTATATAAAATGAAACCCAAAAAACTTCTACATTTGCTCATCTTTATTTCTGCAAGTCCCTGTGGATAGAATTTGGCTAGGGTGTTAAACTCTTTTGCATGATAAAAATACTAAAAGCAGCTGAATAAATGTTCAGGGCACCGCAAGTTTACTATGAAGGTGACACAGTGAAGAACCTGAAAGCAGAACTGGCAAGGGGGATGAAAATCAAGTGCACTAAATGTAGTCTAAAAGGAGCTGCCTTGGGCTGCTATGTCAAGTCTTGCCGCCGAAGCTATCATGTTCCATGTGCAAGGGAGATTTCCAGATGCCGTTGGGATTATGTAAGTTTTGCCAGGTTTTCTACAATCTCATTTTCGCATAAGAGTTACTTACCAAAGTTCCAATTGTAATGTGAGATTGTTTTCTTGGTCCTTATAGGAAGACTTTCTTCTACTTTGTCCAGCTCATTCTTCTGTCAAATTCCCAAACGATAAGTCTGGACATCGCGTATCCAGAGCTGAGCCCTTACCAAAAACGTATAAATCTTTTTCAGCATATAATGTTAATACTTACCAGTATGACATTATTATTCTTATGATAACAACTACCTTGCTCTTTCAGAAATCCTGCTGAGCTATGTTCTTTGGAGAAAACACCAGCTATTACAAAAGAGCTCGTTCTCTGTGGATCAGCACTCTCTAAAAGTGATAAGGTCAGTGTACTAAGTTTCTCTTCTTTCCACAAGGTTCAAACAAGAAACTCTGTTTGTGGATTTATCACTTTTGGTTCAAAGTTGGTAGAGCTTCTGCTAACAAAAAGACTAATTTTCTCATTGCATTGCTATTCCCCAGAACCTGATGGAAAGTTTAGCTGTTAAATTCAATGCAACCATATCAAGGTACTGGAACCCAAGTGTTACACATGTGATTGCTTCTACAGACGAAAAAGGAGCATGCACAAGAACTTTGAAGGTTCTTATGGGTATTCTCAATGGAAAATGGATTGTCAAAGCAGATTGTAAGTTATAATGCTCTCAGGAATTTTCATGATCTTAACTTTTTTCACCATTAAAGAATCTTCATGTTTACATGAATTAGTCTTGAATTGTTTCTAGGGATGAAAGCAAGCCTTGAAGCTTCTCAACCTGTTGATGAGGAACCATTTGAGATTCAAATTGATACTCAAGGATGTCAAGATGGACCAAAAACCGCAAGACTCAGAGCAGAAACTAATGTAAGTATAATCACAAACAAATTTTAAAGTGCTTTGCTTCTTTTGGATATCTCACTCTATTCTTTTTTTAATTTTTTTCTGTTGTCAAGCAGAAACCAAAGCTCTTTGATGGCTTGAAGTTCTATTTCTTTGGAGAATTCGATAAAGGATACAAAGAAGACCTTCAGAATCTAGTAAAAGTAGCTGGTGGGACGGCCTTGAACACAGAGGATGAGCTTGGTGCAGAAAGCAGCAACACTGTCAATGACCAAAGATCATCATCGATTGTGGTTTACAACATTGATCCTCCACTTGGATGTGCCTTAGGTGAAGAAGTCACGATTATTTGGCAACGAGCTAATGACGCAGAAGCTTTAGCTAGCCAAACTGGGTCTCGTCTCGTTGGTCACACATGGCTCTTGGCGTCCATTGCTGGTTACAAGTTACATCCTGTGATTAGCTAATTTCGAGAAAGAGACAAAAAGGCATATTTTAATTTCACTACATATGTAACATTGTTTAATTTCACTTTTAATTTCGTAAGATAACAAAACAGATTCTTGTTTGTACGCATATAAATTTCAACTTTTACTTTGGAAAAACAAAGCTTTGTAACTTAAATTTTGGAAATCTTACCGATTAATGACAGATAATTAATGAAAAATAAATTGTAACGAAAAATGGTGTTCAACGGACCAATAACAAAGCTTTGACAGGTCAAAATTGTAACGGTCACTTACTTTATCCTCCTAATAAACAACACAATTTAAAAAAAATAAACAAACCCTAAATCCCCAATTTCCAAAGTTAACACTACACTTTTTCCCCCGCTCTCTTCTCAGTGATCGTCCCCACCACGCTCCTCAATTTCGATGTCGACCTATTAATGCTTGATCAAATACCTGGAAACCACACGCATGAAGTTTCTCTTCTTCTCTCGCTAGACCTTGAAGATTTCGGATTATGGGTTGCTTTTCGGGTTGCTTCGGTGGTCGGAAAAATCGCCGGCGTCAGAGACGCAGAGAATCCGATCAAGCTAGAGATAACGTAAGTTTCCTGAGAAATTTTCTTACGCTTAGTTTGTGAGAGTTTTTATTTGAATTCCTCGCATCTTTTTAGTGATGAATTTGCTTGAATTACGCTAAATTCTAGATAGATCATCTCCGTGTTTATCGAATTTAACTTCCATTGATTTGCTTGACCCGAAGAATTTATTTGTTATGCTTAGAAACTCGCTGCGGAATCTGCAAAACTTGATGATAGAGTCCACACTGTTGACGAAATCCCGAAATCTTCTGTGATTCCAATTACCGAGATTTGGTGAGTTTGATTGATTTGTTTGCGTGCTTTTCCTCTAGATTCAAGTTTTGAGCTAACATATTCTGATTTCTCAGTGACGAGGCTGAAGAGAAATGCAGTCCAAGCTCTATTACTAGGAAGAGAGTCACTTTTGACTCCAAAGTCAAAACCTATGAACATGTTGTTTCAGAAGAATCTGTTGAACTCTCAGAAGAGAAGAACGAAGAGGTTGAATCCGAAAAGAGGTCACTGAAGTCAAGCAAGACTGATGATCAGTCTTCTTCTGAGATCATTGAGGTTGCCTCAAACTCCTCAGGGTCGTATCCTTCAAACCACAGATACAAGAATTGCAGAGAAAGTGATGATGACATAGAGGAGGATGATTTTGACTGCAGTGACAGCGATCTAGATGAAGATGAAGAGTATTACAGTGATATTGGATTTAGTGAGGATAGCTTGCATATCCCAACCAAAAAGGTTTGTACTGAAGAGATTGGGGATAAAACAGAGGAGACTGATGCAAAGCTGAGAAGGTCTAACGAGAGTGTTAGAGATGGAAACCACTATGATGGCCAAGGAGTACTTAACCCGGTTGAGAATCTCACTCAGTGGAAATCCGCTAAATCCAAAGGGAGAACAATGCAGAAACAGTCTCAAAAGGAGAACTCTAACTTCATTGCAGATCAAGAAGAAAGAAGGGATTCCTCTTCTTTTGGCACAGACTCTCAGATTGATGATATAACACTCAGCTTCAAACCAAAATGCAGAACTGAACCCAAGAAACTGAGAAACCAAGAACTGGCCGTTGATGCTAGCCTTTCAACATGGTTGTCAACATCTGAGTCCGGTAGCGAATGCAACAGCGTCTCTAGGTATACCTCTACACCCGAGAAACACAAGTCTAGCTGCTACTCAAAACCGGTTAAAATCAACCATGACGATAGACCTGTACTATGCGCATTGACATTGGAGGATATCAAACAGTTCTCGGCTACATCTACGCCAAGGAAATCACCGAGCAAAAGCCCTGATGAGACACCTATTATAGGCACAGTTGGTGGTTACTGGGGTAATTACTCAAAGGCAATAGATTGCGGCTCTGCATCTTCATTCAAGGGAATACCAAACACCACCAGCAAGTACAGAGAGGTACGGATAAACCAGTAAAAACATCCTACAAGACAGTAGATACTGACCTTATCACACTTTAAAAACCAACCACCTCAAGTGCAATAATTAAGTCAAAGAGTCCTTTTTCTCGACAATGATAGTTTTTTGGAAGTGCAGGATAAGAGCGTAAATTGGCATTCAACTCCATTTGAGGCAAGACTGGAGAAAGCTTTGAACAACATAGACAAATAATGGTGCTGCACTCATTCAAAACTTGCTTAGTTGGTACTGTGTGATTTTGATTTGATTTCTCTCTGTTACGTATAATCATTCTATTTGTTTGTTCTGTGTTATCCATACGTCTCTTAATATAAAAATGACACAGAAAAGGGGAAGAAAACAAAAAAACAGAATCAAAACTGCTCTCTCTTATTCGCAGGTTCTTCTTGTTCAAAGAAGCTAAATCAAAGTTTTGTGTTTGGTTTTGATTAGGCGACATAGTAGATGGAGTTAGGGAGCTTGAAGGTTCTCTTAGGAAGAGGACAGCCTGCAAAGCTGCTCCATTGGTCTCCCATCACTCCCCAAACTCTGTAACCAAGACTCATCAGCCATGTTCTCTTTTCTGACTTGTATTGTTTCACTTCCTTTTGCTCATCTTCTAGCCCCCTGCATTGTTCAGTTTTCTTGTTAGAGTAAAAAAGAAACACTAGAGGGGTGTACAACATCGGTTTTTTGCTCACTTAAGAGTGAATCTATTAAAACTACTCAAGGTATTGGAGTGGACAAATTTGATCTTCGATTCATTTTGGTTTTAAACTGGTTTAGAAAATATATGAACCAGATAGAGTTTGGTTTCAATATCCGGTTTAGTTGTACCTGAGCATTAGGTTGGACCAGCCATAGTAACCGGCTTGGATGAGGTTGTCGACGGTGGCAGACCTGAGATATTCTTTCCGGGAAGAGATCAAGAAGATCTTAATGCCTCTTTCTCTGATCTCATGGTACAATTTCTTCATGTGTGGCACTGCTGGTGCTTTCTTCATCTTCATCCAATCCTCTAATTTCGTTGAGTTCAATTTCTCTCCTCTGTTTTTAATGAGAAAATATTAAGATTAATCCATGTTTAATCTAAATTTAACATCTCTAATCAGAGATCCAGTCCGGTTCAGTCCGATCCAAATTCCAAAGTGCATTCACTCAAGTAAAAAAGTAACAATATCTACAATTTCCTATAAACAACACACGTCAATTAAAAGCGGTTAACCTTAAACCGGGTAAGATAGAGAATTGAACTTACCCGAAGAAGCCATTTTTCTTGTGGTAAGGTATGGTAGAGAGAAGCGTGTCATCGACATCAAAGATCCAAGCGTCCATGCCATCACACTTAGTCTTGCTACAACACATACTTCCGAAATGAAGAATGACCTCATCAACGGTTCTCGCCACGTCATCCTTGTACTGCGATGACGTCATGTAATCCTCGATGTGAGATACACACTCTTGAGGCACCACATCGAAGTTTCTGATGTTGTGAACTTCCACGTTGATCCTCCAGCTTTCACAGTATCCTTTCAGGTCCGTCTTGATCCCTTTAGAAACGATACCGTTTTGGCTTGAGGACGAACCGAGTCCTTTGAGTTGGTTCAAGATGTTCCAGTCACCAGCGGAGACGACTCCGACAAAGAGTGAGGCTAGTGCCAAGGAAAGAAACATGGTTCGGTCCATGTTTGAAAGAGTTTTTGGATCTTGAGATTTTGATCACAAGTGTGTGTTTGTGTAGTTGTGCATGTAAAGAGGATTTTATAAGTAGAAGAGTCAAAGTACTGGCCCTAACAATAAAGAAAAAGAATTAATACACAAATCTGAATCAAAGTTTTTGTTGTTTCATTAAATCATTTTTTTAATATTTTGGTTGTGATTTTATATTTTAGAGTTGTTTTGATTGCTACATTCATGCACGATATGATCGAGCTTTACAACTTTTTAAGGGAGGCAAAATTATGAAAGCTTAGCTTAATATGCGGGAGAAACAAAAAAGATGTGGATAAATTAAAGATAAATAATTGGTATATAAGAAGTGTATGATTGTAAGAGCAATTGATATCCTCGATTAGTGGCGATATGATTGTCAAAAAGTTATTACACACATTGTATGTAGATGTATCATGTATTTGACTATCGGCACAAAATGGTATGCACATTGCAATAAATAAATGCTATTGGGAATTCATATTTGAGAAAAATGGATGCATCATGAAGCGAGTTGGATGATAGTGTGAAATGCATCAATTATCAAACAGCTATTTAACTTACTTTTCTAACAGTTTTCAAATCAATCGATCAAAATAATTTGTTTTTCATCAAATGATGTTCAAAGTAGACATTGTTATATACTCTATTGAAACCAAAAATAATATGGGATCACAAGAACAATATAGATATAAGTAAATAGCTATTTTGAGTCAATAATCTAAACTAAATTACAGCAACAGTTGTTTTCATCTTTAATTTTTTTTTTGTTGGCATTATGAAATGGAAAGGACAAGAGACATAGATCTAGAGAAGAGGTGGTCAGGTTATGGTGACAAATTGATTGAAGAGTTGGAATGGAAGCACATGGATTTTAATTTTAATAAATAAAACCGTTGAATAAATTGATTTTTGGTTTGCTAGCTAGCAAGGATAGATATATACAAAATTCAAATATACAAATAGCTAATTACAAAAAAGATATATACATACAGAAATTGCAAAAGCATGACCCTCATGAACAACTCAAACTTCTTCCCACTTGCTTTTTAAATTTTTTACAAATAATAATCTTCAACTCTTAAGCTCTTTTTTTTTTTTTTTTTTTTTTTTTCTGCATTTGTATTTGATATCTTATAATTATATATATAGGCTATAGAGATTAAGACATGTAAAATATTTATTTTCAAAAACATGTAAAAATGAAGTTCCACTAAATCGTTATGAGTTGACATTAGAAACACTCGGTTTTCCAGCAAAGCACGTATACGACCGATCATGCACAGTTGGATTACAATTAAATGCTTATTATTTTTCAACTGCCAATGCAGGTTCAAAGTGTATATAGATTAAACATTTACTTTACCTTCTGGCGATATTTGCCAATATAATCGTAAAATGTTTAGCAATGAGTATCTCATTTTTCCATTATTTTGATGTTTTAAATAATATACGTGTTATACATTAGGATACCACTTTCGTAAAAAGTTACTTTCTTGAACAAAACAATTATAAAATTCAAAAAAGTAGAATGGTCAAATAAGTAACACCGATCAAAACATGACAAGAGTTGTTTATAATTTGTTAACGATTTTAGATCGTTTATCACATCTTGATTGAATTTCATACATAAATAAATGAAATGTAGCGAGAGAGTTGTTCAACGGCAATTTGAGCTGTTATCACTTGTTTTAGATGAACAAACCATGTGCACAAAGACAATACAATCATAAACTGAGAGTAATAAAAGTAAAAAGTAAAAAATTGTCCATCCTAGTCTTACGATCATCTTATCTATTGACTATTGGTCTTAACCAGTACTGTAAATTATGGTTTACTTGAAGAAAACGAACGTGATTAAGAGAGATTTAGAATTAAAGATAGTCAAACTTCTAAATTAATCAAAAGTCACAAGACCCTCAAGCTAAGCTATACAGAGTTTGATCTCACAATAACCAACTTAGCATCTTGTTTTCCAACCTACAAAATCAATTGACCGGGAACGGTTTGTTAATTAAGAGAGTCCCATTCACAAAAAACGGAGGGTCTCATATCTTTTCTTCTTCATTCTCCTCTCATGCTTTGTTCATAATCTGCATGATCTCTGAAACATAACAAAGGTAAAAAGATACTCAGTGAGATGCAGAATTGATATTACTCAGTCCCATGTAACAGAATCAGGATGATATTACTCACTCTTTGATCGCTTCTTGTTCCTGCAGAATCTGCTACCACACAGACAATCAAAGGGTTTCATCAGAGATTCATCATCGTTGAAGTCAACGCCATAATCCTGAGAATGTGAAGTCCATGATTCACATCAGATCAATGTATATCAAGATATCAGCAAGCATTAAAAATATACAATCTTTTCCATGGGTATAGAAACTTGTCAGTCATGGATTGTGAAATTGTACACACCCATGTGAGTTCCTCCATTGCCTCGATGTCCCTTGTTGTGAAGAATGCAAGCTGGAGAAGATTACAGTTATAAGATTTCCCAGAAAAAAAAAAGAAAAAATATATGAGCAAAAGATTATAAATGAGACCGTAATTGAATCATTACATGATAATAATGCTGATCCGGAGTCTCGACTTGAACTGGGATCTCGATCAAGTTTGCATCAAGACATCTACACACATCAAAGGACAGAAAGAAACATCAGTTTAAAATAGAGAAAAGGCCAATGGTATTCTGATTATTACTGCAAGCCATTACCTGTGGTTAAGGAACCCTGATATATTTCCATAATGCGTCCCATCAAGACACAGAGCTTTGTCATCCTCTAACCTCTCTTCAGAACCCCAATGTGCATCCAATATAAAAGGACAAGTGAGTTTACCTTCAAAGCTACGTTGGTATAACTCCGGAATTGTCAATATCTCTCCAATGTACTCACAAATAAATGCCCCTTTAGGCAGTTTCTCCAACGTCCTAAGGCCCCAGCCTTTCCCATTTGGTGTGAAAAACACCTGATATTAAAAAAAACGATTGATCGAAAATGGAAACTAGTAAAGACAAACACGTAAAAAGAGTTAGTTAAGATGAATGTTTGACCTGTAATTTGTTTTGTATTCCTCTTTGTATCACTCGGTTACCGCATATTTTAGTGCAACCACATTTGATCCAACACTCTTTAATGGCTCCCCTCTTCAGATGCCCTTTGCATGGTTCCAAAATCTCAACCTTTTTAGCTCTCTCCAATGGGCACTCTTCACAGAATTGCAGCACCTGTTTCCGTTGATCGCGGGCCTCAGAGATCCGAGCTTCCAAGAATTCTTCTTTGAGTAAGCCATTTACTGAGTACGCAAACACGTTATCAAAAGCAATTGCACAATTGCACGACATTTCTGAAGCCAGGCAATCTTCGATACAGGAAAAGGAGCAGCTTTGCTCATCAGAGAAACTTGAGAGTGAGAATTTCACTGGAGCATCTTGAAATACAAAGCTATGACGCATGTAACGGAAACATGAAGGAACCTTGTCGTTGATCTCATTCACCCATGGAATCTCAATGTTTTCTTCACCAGCCGTAATGTCCTTCATGTTGCTAATTGCTCTCAAGCCATCTTCAGAGATCTCGCATTCAGGAACAACAACCAACCCCATCGAAATGCCAGCTGCACCACTTTCATCACCCGCCTTACTTATGTCACATATGGTTTCTGTTTCAAGTGACTGGCTGGTTGAATTCTTTGCCAAGTCTATGTAACAGCTACACATGTCCTTCATGAACCCAAGGACCGAAAACTTGGGGTGAACAATTTTGTACGACTTGAGACACTTCTCCTCCATTGCTCTCCGAAGATCCTCCATAGAAGGCAAACACAAATTCGTTGTTTCTCCAGTTGCAGGCGCAAAACTTAGATAAATCTTCGCCTCACCAGAAGTCGAAGAAGCTAATTCAACTGAAGCAGCGGCAACCTTATGCTCACTAGATTCCCCAATAGCTGAAGGAGACACATCCATGGCAATAGTATCATTGAGATTATCTTTGGTTTCCCTATCCCGTTCTTCCACATGTATATTTGATTTCTCGATCTCAAGCATGGGAGCTGAACAGTTTCCTGTATCCAAATAATGAAAAGAAGTGTCAAAAAGTAACATCACAAGAGACGGATCAGGTTAATATGCAAAGGCTTCAACATCTGATCACAACCACATAAAAGCAATACAAGAAAGATTACTAAGTCTACATGTAACACTACCTAAAATCACAGACTTATGATCTATATTGGGCTCATCATTGAGGATAATAAGTGCATCGGCCTCAGAGTCCTTTTCATCTTGTATAGGATCAGCTGGGATTAGAAGCATTGGTGGTACTCCTTTGGGCTCCATTGACGTGCGACTGCTGGAGCTAGGACTTGCATTGTTATAGACAGTCATTGCCAATCCTCTTTCACCACTTCTGCGTAAGTACCTCTTTAACGGAGGTAATTCAGTCACATCATCATCTTCATCTTCCTCTTCCTCTTCAGGCTGAGTCTGTTTTACCGAAAAAAAATAAACACAGGCTATATAATATGAGTATGACCAAGAAACCTGAAAAACAGATACTAAACATACCTTGGGATCCTCTTTGTTGGGCTTCTGTGATTTGGGACTGCATTCGCTAAGGTTTGTGTTGTATTCAGAACATCTTCCACGTTTACTACGCAACCTCCTTTTCAATGGAGTTTCATCTTCATCCATATCATCCTCCTCATCTTGTACCAAAGGCTGAGTTTGCTTTAACCAAAAAAAACAAGTTAATGTTACATGATGATAACAAATTCTAAAACAACAAAGATATTTAGTTCGTATACCTCAGGAGCTTTCCTCCTTCCCCTGCTGGTTGCTACATTCTAAAGATTAAACAAAAAAGATCATCAAAACCTTGAGAAGAAACAACAACAAAAACATCCGAAAATTGGCATCAAAAAATGGAAAGTTAACTTACTTTGGACTTCTTTTCCTCTTCTTTCTTTTTCTTTTCTGTGGACTACCAGATGACATATCAAGAAAGAGAATTGTGTGAGTGTGAATATAAAAATAAAATAAAATGAAAAGTGATTAAGCAGAGAAAACAAAACCTGGGCATCAGCCTCGTCGAAGATTGCATCAAGAAGGACCTTATAGGCTTCATCTTCAATGAAATCCCAGTTATTATCATAGGCCTTGAGAAGTTTTCTGAGAAAGGCCCTTGTTTTCGTCTCTGATATTCCTAAAAGCTTCATAGCGTCACAGGCTTTCTTAATCTTAGGATTCGGTGCCATTTTCGACGAATTTCTGCAATGACAAAGCTAAAATCACTCACCCACCTCATAAAACATTCAGAAAGTATACATAACAAAACTGGAAACTTTCATCTTCCAATAAGGCAATAAGAGTGAAAACAGAGATGAATCAAGAGAAGAGCTTTGTCTTCTTAGACAGTAAAAGAGTTAGATGTGTAACGAAAGTATGAGCCTTTACCACCAAAAAATTGGAACTTTTTTTTTTCTTTGTGGAAAACCGAACGGACAACAAAATACCAAAACCCTAAAACGTCAATTTCCCAGAAAAAGAAATGAGTAGAGATTTCAAAACGGAATTAAAACTGAAGCGATTGGAGAAAAATGAGAAGAACTTACCAGCAAAAGAAGGAACTCTGAAACTGATTTAGGGTTTTAAGAGAGTAAGTGAGCAAGTGGAATTTCCAAGAAAAAAAAGATGATGAGAGAATGGAGGGCAAAATTTTTGAATGCTGGTGTTTGTTTGATCAATGTCTGTATCTCTTTGTCCACCGAAAGACGACCATTTGAAAACTTTTAAAAGACCAAGTGAGGGACTCCAAACTTGATTGAGACTCTCCTTCCTTTGAGAAACTTGCCATTTTAATACAAGGACCAAAACGCAGCGTTTGAAAGTTGTCATTGACTTTTTCTGTATGAGGAGGATTAATGAGACAAACCAAAAGTGAACCTTTCTCTCTCTACGTACAGTGTCAGTATGATGATGACTCCTTTGAATTGACTGGTTTAACTCAAAATGAGGTCGGCTTCAACCCTTGTTCTAAAAACCGGCCGCCTAGGCGTTGATCGGAGGAGCACCGCGACGATTTTGTCCAAATCGGTGAGAAAAATCGGAGATCCGATTTTTTGTCCGCCTGGACCGCCTAGGTGGCCGCCTAGACAGCGCCTAGCCCAATTTTTTTTTTTTTTTTTGTTTTTACTTTTTTTTTCATCTAAAATTCAAAACGTCCTACTTATGTTCGTAATTTGTATAAAAATCATAAATTTGAAATTAAAATCTTGTTTTCATGTGTTTAATACAATTTTAAAAAACAATATTATATAAATTTCTTAATTATAATGGATTAATATGTTTTTAAAATATTAAATAGTCCTAAAACTAATCTCCGTGTAATCCCCGATTTTCTTGCTAGGCGCTAGGCGCATCCTCACCGCCCGACTAGCGCCTAGCGATTTTTTGAACACGGGCTTCAACACTTATGGGCCTACAGTTTCATTCCCCCTTGATTTCCATCCAGTGAATGAGGAAGCAACCAAAAGGTTTTAACATCTGGGACGTGAACAACATGAAGAAGAACAGTACTTGTGTGCTTGGCTCATGGTGTTGTTCTTCTCTTAAGCCATTTCGTAAGGTGAATGGTTTTGTTCTGCTTCTAGCGGCATATGTTTGGTTAACTTATTACTACTTATGCTTATCTTCAATTCTCGACTTTTTATTAGCTATACTTCTCAATTGTAGTACATCCTTCTAGTGGCAAGTATGATTTCAGTTTTGGTTCAAGTGTAAAGGATATAGGGGAAGAAGAAAATCAGGAGATTCTGGAATCAGCAAGTCAGCTAAACCAAAACCCTTGATGCAAACAGAGTCGAAAACCACGAAGATAGAGAGAGATACACTGAACAATAGAAACATCATTAAGGTTTTGGCAGTCTATTTACAGTCCTTGCCAAGTGAGGGAGTGATGATCAAATCAAAATTTGGAGTAATCAGAACTAAATGGCATAAATGTTGAAGAGAAACTAAGACAGTGTAACAGCTAAGTTATCAAATGATTCTACATTTAGCTAACGTAGTGCATTAATATAAATCACTTGTACAAGAAAAGCTCTCATCTTTATAGTGCTCAAGCCATAAATTACCAAATAGATTAGAAGCAGATTGCCCAAACACAAGCTTGAAAATTGCGAATTCATTGCAAATCCCTTATGAGTAAACCTAATCTTACACAAGGAAGGAAATTAACAGGTTCTAATAGAGTAGCAGAAACAAGCATGATGATAATATCAAATTCGAATTAGGGTTTCTACAGTTACTTTAGTGCATCGCACCGACCGGTGGGGTTCCGAGAAGACTCGTCTGCTGAAACTCAAACTCGCTTAATTGCTGATCTTTCTCCAACTCTAAGATCAAAGGGACGACAAGGATGAGCAACGTCGTTCCGGCGATCCACGCCGCCTTCCCGGTGCTCTTTAACAGCTTCTTCGACACGTGGACAGCATCGCAAGCGGCGCGTCTTCCCTGAGAAACGATTTCGTAGTTTGAAATCTTCGCCAAGATGCTCGAATCTCTCCCGCCGGCTCCGATTTTCTTAGGCGCCATTGATTGAAAAGTTGAGAGCTCACAGCCAGACGACGAGGGTTTTCACTCGATCGATGATATTGAAAGGGTTTCTCTGTTTTAATAATGGGCCCATTAAGAAATTTCAAGCCCATGTTTTTAAAGGCCCATTTATTTAACGGCCCATATTGAGATCCAATGTACGCCGACCAACACGATACGCGTCGCCTTTCGTTTTGGTACGTCGTCTCTAACCCTATACCCTCTCTTCCTGTAAACGAAACAAACCCAAAATCGAAAGCTGAGAGCTCTCTCTTCCATTGAAGCTACTTTCGAAGAGAGCATTCACTGATTTGGAAAGAGTTCTAGAAGCGACGACCATCTTCTTCAGTTCCCGAGGTACATAGCCTTTTCTCTTTTCTACGAATTGGGAACAAAACTAGGGTTTTTCATTAGCTCAGTTTTATCGGGTTTCTGATTTTGTTTCGATTATGGTTAGATTTTTTTCTTTTACTGTTGAAAAACCTCCGTATCCTGCTTTCCTGGTTGTGATTCATAGGAAGATTGAGTGAATTTTGCTTTACACTGATTTTTATTTTACCTGTTTCGAGTTTGTGGTTTCGGTTTGTATTCAACACGCCTCTGATTTGCTACACTAAATGAGATCCTTCAATGAGTCTCTCATTTGCCTGCAATTAATGACATCCTTCGATGAGTTTACTAACAGTGATTCTATTCTTATGTGAATGTAGTTTTCTAGAAAGTTATGGGAGACAGCGAGGCCATGGTTTCCGAGGGATACACTTCTGCTCCATATGGAGATTATAATGCTTCTGCTGCTACTGTGGAATCGACAGGGCAAGAGACTGCACCAATTGTTGATTCATCACACTCGGTCAACGATGATTCTGTGGTCAATGGGACTGTGCCAGTTGAGAACGGAAATGCAACAGATAACGTGGCTGTAACTGCTCCAGCAGCGGAGCATGGAGACAATCCTGGTAAGCTTGTATGAGCACATTAATTCTTTCTCAGTAGAGACATCATTACAAATTGATTCTAAGGGGCGTCACTAGAACCTGATCTTAACTTTGATGATATAATCCTTTACTGATTCCTTCTCTGTTGTTACAGGCTCTACTCTCTCACCGGAAGAGGAGCGCTTGTGGAATATTGTAAGGGCTAATTCTTCAGAGTTCAATGCTTGGACTGCCTTGATTGATGAGACGGAGAGGATAGCGCAGGTATGTGGATTTACATAATGAATCTTATTTTTCCTATGTACTCTGCTCTGACCTCTGAAATTTTCTCTGTGTTGACGCAAATGTTTGTCATCTGGATCATGTTTCCATAACTTATTTGCTATCTGAATCTTAATAATGAGTATTCCGTTTTTATTTGTACACCTTAAGTCGCTATCATCTTTCGATATCTTTTTCTAAGTTTTACTGTCAGCTAACTTAATCCATTTGCTCTAGATTGGTAATGTTTTCCTTGCTACCCTGATTACAGGACAATATAGCAAAAATCCGGAAGGTCTATGATGCTTTCTTAGCAGAATTTCCTTTGTGTTATGGCTATTGGAAAAAGTTTGCGGATCATGAGGCTCGGGTGGGGGCAATGGACAAAGTCGTAGAGGTTTATGAAAGAGCAGTGCAGGGAGTTACATATTCAGTGGATATCTGGCTGCATTATTGCACTTTTGCCATCAATACATATGGAGATCCAGACACAATCAGAAGGTAATAAATGCTTATTCTTCTATTTGTATGTGTATTAACAACTTGGTGGATTTTCCAATTACCTAGACAAAATGATTTTACCATCTAACCCTTTTCTTAGATTGCTACAGCAAGTCCTCTCGTTTGTGGCGGAAACACCTGATGGAATTAATTTAAAAATACTTCTTTTTCTTATTTTCAACACACTAGCTTTCAGCCTCCTTCCATTCCTATCTGATATCTTTATCTGAAACTGTTCCCTTTTTTTGGTGCTCTTTACTTCTCTGGTTTGAAAATTTTGAAGTTAAAATTACCTGTTTTAACTGTCACCCTCCCCCGAAGTGCATCCATATGCAAAATGCTGCTGGAAAGATGTCAACCAGTTTTGGGCTTAGGTAGCCCTTGACTGCTCGATTTTGGCCATAGTATGCTTTTACCAGGAAGGTAAATGCAGTGTTTGGCAGTATCATGCATTCAAAGAGTGAATCCTTTTCTCCATAGAACTCGTGTTTGTCTTTATTGATTGGATATGTCCTGTGTCTTTCAGCTCATATGACATTCTTTTTACTATAATGCTGTTGCAGGCTTTTTGAACGAGCTTTGGTTTACGTTGGAACTGATTTTCTTTCCTCTCCATTGTGGGACAAATACATTGAGTATGAGTACATGCAGCAGGACTGGAGCCGAGTTGCCATGATTTACACCAGAATATTGGAGAATCCAATTCAAAATCTCGATAGATATTTCAGCAGGTAATTCTGACTGATTACATTAATCATTTTTGTCTGTGCTGAAGTGGATAGAGTCTATTTATGTGGATTGTTATGGTTATGGTTAGAAAACATTATGTTGATGCGCTATGTTGATTTAGCACTTAATCGAGCTCAGCTATATGGCAGATATGCTGTATCATACATTTGATTGATATACGCTAAATCCAATTTTATATTTCATCTATTTTCCCTCCTGACATTTCTGTTATTTCTGATGGTTTATTGTTAGCCAGGATTTTTATATTTTGCTCATAATCTTTAGTTTCTTTCTGATGTGTATGTTGCTTCTTCGTTCTGGTATTTTTTTCTGTTGTTGATAAATGCTTGTCTTGCTATAGTTTGAAGGAGCTAGCTGAAACACGGCCTCTGTCGGAACTAAGGAGTGCTGAGGAATCCGCAGCTGCTGTTGTTGCTGGTGATGCTTCTGAAAGTGCACCATCTGAGCCTGGTGGAAAGGCAGATGAAGGACGATCCCAAGTTGATGGTTCCACCGAACAATCCCCTAAATTGGAAAGTGCTAGTTCAACTGATCCTGAGGAGTTGAAGAAATATGTTGGCATCAGAGAAGCCATGTACATAAAATCCAAAGAGTTTGAATCTAAAATCATTGGTTATGAAATGGCTATAAGGAGGCCCTATTTCCATGTGCGTCCTCTGAATGTTGCAGAGCTAGAGAATTGGCACAACTATCTAGATTTCACCGAGAGGGATGGAGACTTCAATAAGGTACTGGGGTTTAACTCTCTTATACGTGAACGTACAAGTGTTTTGTAGATTAAGTCGTACTTCTGTCATATTATTGACCTACAGTTAAGTAGTATCTGGTGCATCATATGCTTGATTGGGTTTCCATTGGATCAAGCAACTTTTAAATGGGAAATAACTGAGGCCAAACCATGGGCCTCGATTTGGTAACTTAAGGCTAAGTACTTCAAACTTTCAATTTGTCAATGGATATTTTAGGCGTGAGTTATCCTGTTGTTGAAGTTCCAATGTTATTAATGCAGGTGTCTTCCTAACAATCTGTCTGTCAGGCAAGGAGGGTCCCTCTGTATGTGAGGGCCCCTCTGTTGGACTTGTAGAGTATTTCTTGTGGATTTCTCCTTTGTGCTTTCTATGTTTACATGTTTTTTTTTCCCCTAGTGATCATCATATATGTTTTACATTTGATTGTCTTTTTCAATAGGTGGTCAAGCTGTATGAAAGATGTGTGGTTGCCTGTGCAAATTACCCAGGATACTGGATTCGTTATGTGTCAAAAATGCGAGCAAGTGGAAGTACGGACCTTGCAGAAAATGCCCTTGCTCGAGCAACTCAAGTCTTTGTGAAGGTATGAAATGTGTTTCTCCAACCTTTTTTGGGTAGTTAAATTTCATTAATTAGGAGTGGCTTTGCAGAATAATTCTAAATAGACAGCTTTGACTCTCATGGTTATTTATCTGCTTTCTTTTCTTTTATAGAAACAACCAGAGATTCACCTTTTTGCTGCTCGATTAAAAGAGAAGAATGGAGATATAGCTGGTGCTAGAGCTGCATACCAATTAGTGCACTCTGAAATTTCTCCCGGACTTCTTGAAGCAGTAATCAAACATGCAAACATGGAACACCGACTAGTAAGCTTCCATGGTGATTAAAGAACTAGTATAGATTACTATCACTGGTTGTTTCCCTTACATGTCTCCTAATCTTATCTGTAGGGTAATCTGGATGATGCTTTCTCTTTGTATGAGCAAGTGATTGCTGTTGAAAAGGGGAAAGAACATTCCACAATACTGCCGCTGCTGTATGCTCAATATTCAAGGTTTTCATACTTGGTACGTCACATGGTCTATACTACTAAGACTCATACAACTGATTTTTGAACTCATTGTGTTTTTGTTTTCATGATGGAGTATGTGGTGATTTGGCTTCTTACTTTTCTCAATATTATTTTCAGGTTTCCAGGGATACTGAGAAAGCTAGGAGGATTATAGTCGAAGCACTTGACCATGTACAACCGTCAAAACCTCTCGTGGAATCACTGATTCATTTTGAGACGATTCAGCCACCACCAAGACAGATTGATTACCTTGAGCCACTCGTAGAGAAAGTTATAAAGCCAGATGCAGATGCCCAGAACATTGCAAGTGCCTCTGAGAGGGAAGAGCTATCCTTAATATATATAGAGGTAATGGAAAAGAAAGAAAACAATCCTTGCTTGAACATCATGTATCTATATTATTGGTTTTAACAGCCAAATGTTCATGGCCTTTGCAGTTCCTGGGTATTTTTGGTGATGTGGAGGCCATTCATAAAGCGGAAGAGCAACATGTTACACTGTTTTTACCTCATCGGAGCACGTCAGATCTGAAAAAGCGTAGCGCAGATGATTTTCTCTCATCAGATAGGACGAAAATGGCAAAAACTTACAACGGCACTCCACCTGCTCAGCCAGTATCCAATGCATATCCAAATACTCAGGCTCAATGGTCTGGTGGTTATGCTGCGCAACCTCAAACTTGGCCACCAACACAAGCTGCTCCTGCTCAACCGCAGCAATGGAACCCTGCCTATGGTCAACAGGTAAAATACCAAAGATAGAACCAAATCCTTTACATCTATGGTTTTACTCTTATAATAGCAACGAATTTACCTCTGTAGGCTGCTTATGGTGCATATGGGGGATATCCTGCTGGCTATACTGCTCCACAGGCACCAACACCTGTGCCACAGGCCGCTGCTTATGGCGCCTATCCTGCTCAGGTAACCGAAATTCTTAATGTGTTAAACTTAGGAAGTATCTAAGGATTACAGAGATTAATAACCAGCAGTTTAAAATGGGAATTACTCTCGGCGATAAGTCTTTGATCAACTAACTTGGATCTTTTCTTTGTGAAAACTTTTTCAGACATACCCAACACAGAGTTATGCACCTCCAGTTGCAGCTGCAGCACCAGCGGCTGCGCCGGTGCAGCAACCGGCTGCTGCTGTTGCTCCTCAAGCTTACTACAATACGTACTACTGAGCCTATTACTGGTGCTGGTTGTTTTTGTAGGAGATTGATAACCATTTGCTTCTATCTACTCAAGTTTAGTGTCTGAATGTTTTCACATGTCTGAATGTTTTTACGTGTCTCTCTTTTCTCGATCAGTGACAATAGATTTACTTTTCTCGAGTTGCTTGATCCGTAAAAGATCTTGGATTTTCGCCGGTTATCATACAGATTGTAACCAGAGAAGTTGAATTGATTAGCGGGTTAGTGCTGTTTAAATGATCAAACTCAGTGTCGCAAAAGAAAAAGGAAAACTAAAGACAATTAGAGAACTTAATGTTACTCTCTATTAATTCGGTCTACAAATCAAACCTGTTTATTTGACGAAAAAAAAAAAGATTCTTTTTCTATATTACTTTCTTAAAAATTCAAATTTATTTGCTATACTTCCAAAATTGATCATGTATCCAATCATTAAAAAGGAAAAAAAGAATGGACCTCAAATTAGAATTGAATGGACCTCAAATAAGACTTGATGTTATTTGAGAATTTATGGGGTAAATTAGTGAGAATTTCTAGATATATTATTTTAAAAAGTATTTTGTGCGACTGTCCACGATTTTCGTGTTCATCATTTTCTTGTGGCATTTCTTCAGATAGCAAAGGTAATAACTTCTTCCCCAAGGTAGCTTGTGATGTGTAGAATTGCTTAAAACAGTTTTATAAACATGACTTTTTGATTATTTTTTATGAAAGCTAAAAAGACTGGGATACTACAAAGCTGACATATTTCCACCTTCCTGATTAGGGTTTCGCAAGATCAGAGAAGAATATGTTAGGTTACAAATGTCTCCACTGGAACAATCTTATAGATTTACCGCCATTAAAGGACCCTGAAACCTTCTCTCTTCCTGCTTCCATTCCCCATTGGCCTCCAGGTAACTCCGATTCCATTCAATCCCCGACTTCTCTTGTTAGCGATTTCCAATTCTAGTTTTAGGTTTTCTCGGCATTCCCAAAAAGTGATTTTTATTTCTCGATTTTCCCCAATTTCGTGAAATTCAACTGGGTTTTATCAATCAGATCTCTATATCCACTAATCTAATTCGAACGATGGTCAATCAAATCGTTTTGCGTTTTCAAAGAAGATTCTTTAAAGATTGCGTTTTGAACAATTTTTGAGCTGTATCTCTCAGATTTTGTTTCTGCATTCTTTGAAACTGATCAGGTCAAGGCTTTGGCTCTGGAACAATCAATCTCGGCAAATTACAAGTCATCAAAATCACGGATTTTGAATTTATATGGCGATACAGATCCACAGAGAAGAACAAGAGCATTTCATTCTACAAACCAAAGGGATTGTTTCCTAAAGACTTCCATTGCTTAGGTCATTACTGTCAATCTGATTCTCATCCTTTGAGAGGTTATCTTCTTGCGGCAAGAGATTTAGTAGATTCATTAGAACAGGAAGAGAAACCTGCATTAGTGGAACCTGTTGATTTTACTCTTGTCTGGAGCTCAAATGATTCAGTAGAAGATGAATGTAGTAGTAAGAGCGAACGCGGTTACTTCTGGTTACCGCAGCCTCCTGAAGGGTATAGATCGATCGGTTTTGTGGTTACAAAGAGTTCTGTGAAACCTGAGTTGAATGAAGTTAGATGTGTTAGAGCTGATCTTACTGATAAATGTGAAACCCACAATGTCATTGTCACTGCTGTTTCCGAATCTTTAGGTGTTCCTTTGTTTATATGGAGAACTCGGCCTTCAGACCGCGGCATGTGGGGCAGAGGTGTCTCTGCAGGTACTTTCTTCTGCAGAACTCGGCTTGTTCCTGCTAGAGAAGATATTGGTATCGGTATTGCTTGTCTAAAGAATCTAGATACGAATGTACACGCGATGCCAAATGTTGATCAGATTCAAGCTTTGATTCAACACTATGGTCCTACACTAGTCTTCCATCCTGGTGAAACTTACTTACCTTCTTCTGTTTCGTGGTTCTTCAAGAATGGTGCAGTTCTCTGCGAGAAGGGAAATCCGATCGATGAACTTATCAATGAAAATGGCTCGAATTTGCCTCAAGGAGGAAGCAATGACAAGCAGTTTTGGATTGATTTGCCGTGTGATGATCAACAAAGAGATTTCGTCAAGCGAGGAAACCTTGAAAGCTCGAAACTTTACATTCACATTAAGCCTGCTCTTGGAGGAACGTTCACGGATCTTGTCTACTGGATCTTCTGTCCTTTTAATGGACCAGCGACCTTAAAACTAGGACTTGTCGATGTCTCATTGATCAGCATCGGCCAACACGTCTGTGATTGGGAACATTTCACTGTCCGAATCAGCAATTTCTCAGGTGAGCTTTACTCAATCTACTTCTCACAACACAGTGGCGGCGAGTGGATCGAAGCTTATGACCTTGAATTCATTCCCGGAAGCAACAAAGCCGTTGTTTACTCGTCGAAACATGGTCACGCGAGCTTTCCTAAGGCTGGGACTTACTTACAGGGATCGACAATGCTTGGGATTGGGATAAGAAACGACACTGCGCGTAGTGAACTCTTTGTAGATTCGAGCTCACGGTACGAGATCATTGCAGCAGAGTATCTGGGCGGCAACGGTGTGGTGGCAGAACCGCCGTGGCTGCAGTATATGAGAGAATGGGGACCAAAGGTTGTGTACGATTCAAGAGAGGAGATAGAAAGATTGGTGAATCGATTTCCGAGGACGGTTAGGGTTTCGCTTGCTACAGTGCTGAGAAAACTTCCGGTGGAATTATCCGGCGAGGAAGGTCCAACGGGACCGAAGGAGAAGAACAATTGGTATGGCGATGAAAGATGGTGAAATCTCACTGCTCGGAAGAAAAATGTGGTGAGATTACCATCGGAGCCCTAACAGTGTAACTTGTAGAGGAAGAAGAAGCTTTAATTGCGCAAAGATTAATGACAGTTAGCGTAGGATTAACGTAAAACTTGTCGTTAGAAGTGTATACAAGTGGGTCCCATCATGTATGTAATTAAAACTAATAAACTTATTTAGACGAACAAACCCACACCAAACGCAACGCACACATTCGTGTACCGTTTCCGATTTTTCCTTTACTCTCTCTCTCTCTCTTTAAGAAAAGTTCCTTCTTTTTGATCCGTGAATCGAAGTCACCCTAGAATCAAGATTAAAACCTCGTTTAGTTCCCAATTTCTGTTCTGTGTGTTTTTTTTTTGCTCTGTCTCGAAATTTAGAATCCTAGAGGTGTTGAAAGTTGAAAACTTTTCTGGTTCGTTTGATTTATGGGTTAATTCAAACTTGATCGATGATTGGATTTGAATCAAGACGGGTTCTTAGCCACTGAGTGACGTTTTGGTCAATTTGGGGTAATGAATGGTTTGCAAGATGTTTGTTCTTCAAGTGGGTCGGTGATGATCGGACTTCCAGCTGAAGAAGACGAAAACGCCGCACTTTCGTCGGAGGATTCTTCTCGCCCCGACGAGTCTGTGTCAGAGACAGAGCTCGACCTTGCTTTGGGTCTTAGCATTGGTCTCAAAGGTCGTCGGAAGGTTCGATCTTCTTTGTCTTCCTCTTCTTCTTCTTCTATGACCAGGGAAAGTGGGACCAAACGCTCTGCTGATTCTTCTTATGCGGCTGCCTCAAACGCAACGAGGTAAAAAATTCATCTTCAAGACTTTTATATTATTATAACCTCTACGTATGTTATATGATTGGTCTCAGATTGATTATCGTTTGGAGCTATATTGGTAATGTTATGCTGTGTCTTTTTTGTATTGCCGTATTATAGTAACTAGTTGGTCTTTTGATTTAATATCTTTTGGTAATGGAGCAGACAAGTTGCCGTAGGTTGGCCGCCTCTACGGACTTACAGAATCAACAGTTTGGTCAATCAAGCAAAGTCATTAGCTACTGAAGGTGGCTTGAGTTCTGACATTCAAAAGGACACAGTAAAAAACAGCGTGGTGGCTGCGAAGAACGATGATGTTTGCTTTATCAAATCTACCAGGACTTCTATGCTTGTGAAGGTGACAATGGACGGAGTTATAATTGGAAGGAAGGTTGATCTCAATGCTCTGGATTCTTATGCAGCCTTGGAGAAAACTTTGGAACAAATGTTTTTCCAGATTCCTTCTCCTGTTACAAGTCAGTTACTAATTCTGTTTCATGTGATTCTGCTTTTCAAATTCTGTGTCTCTTGAAATTGACTGGTTTTGATTGATCGATTTATAGAATCAAACACACAAGGATGCAAGACAATCAAGGAAACACGTGCTTCGGTATTGCTGGATGGCTCATCGGAATATATCATAACATATCAAGATAAAGACGGAGATTGGATGCTTGTAGGAGATGTTCCTTGGCAGTAAGTGATTTCCCTTAATGACTTCCCATTCATCATCTGATTTTGTAATGAGGAACATCGATTTCAATTTAAACGATCTTTTCATGTTCTCAGGATGTTCCTTGGGTCCGTGAAAAGACTGAGAATCATGAAGCATTCAAATGAAACTGGAGTAGGTATGTAGAGATTCCTATATAGCAAAAAACATCAATGCCCCTCATTTTACATCTCTTTGGTTTGTAACTCATATATCACGTTCACATGTAAACATGTGCATATGTTTTTATACACGAGTGTACATATGTCTTGTGGTCGTTTGTGAATATTAAACAACAGCTTAACCTCCTGTTTAAAGATCTTTGTATATTTAGGGTTTATCACTCTATTGGTACCTGATCCAATATACCACTAAAACAACAAAGGCATGCATCTGGATTAGGTTTTAGTGATGAAATCAAGCTACAGTATATGATAGAATCACCAGTTGTTTCATTTACTGGAAAATGAAATACAGCTCTAGTGAATTGAATAACAACAGATCAATCCAGCTCCACGAGGTTTTCTTAGCATAAAAACCCTCAAAACCTACCATTAAAGCTAACACAAACTCTTAAACAGAATGAAAAACGTTTTCCTTCATTGGCTCAGTTAGTCTTCAAGGTTACAGAGATTGGACTTCTAACTCGCTGCATCAGATTCTGAGAGTTGACCCAAGTCAACTGTCCCTGTGCAAAGGTAGCCACCCTCCCTCCTCTGTTTTTCTTCTTCAATACAAACCATACTCGATAGCTCAGCGTCTGATCCACGTGTTTGAATTCAAGTCTCTTAGGATTTACAATCACTTTGATCCCCTCTGGAGCCTTAACATTCACTGAGTATATCGAGTTTGGACTCCCAACGTTAGTCACACGCCTTGTGATCATCTCTGTAGTCTTGCCACGTTTGAAAATCACGGATATCGACGGGTAATTGAGGCTAAAACCCGGGTTTTTCCGCAATATTCCACTGCAGCTCACGTTCTTATGAGTGATTGCTAAAATGTCTGATCTTGTGAATCCAAGAGTGCAGAGGTAAGTAATGTAATCCACTGGTTGAATGTTGTAAACCAATCCCGGGTTTATCGCCTTTTGCGGATTCACATGCCCTGCTCCAATCGCAAACACACCTGCTGGTTTGTTACCATCCTTTATCGCTTTCCCTTGACGATCGTACAAATCCGCTGTTGTCATCAATGCGGATTTGATTGCAGCGGGAGACCAGTTCGGGTATGCAGACCGGATAAGAGCAGTGATTCCGCTAACATGTGGACAAGACATTGAAGTTCCTGACATTACAGTGAAGTTAACTCTTCTTGAATCATAAGGAAGTCCGGTTGGTCCTAGATTTTGAGGCCAAGCCGCAATGATATTGACTCCCGGAGCAATCATATCCGGTTTTAGTATCGAAGGATTGGCTAAACTCGGTCCTCGAGCTGAAAACTGAGCAACTTCCGGTGCTCGTGACCGCCCAATCACTGTACCACCAAAAATTATCCGCGCCTTTGGTTTCACCGTGGCATTAACATAAGCCTTCATAAGGACTGACTCGGTGTAACCAATCAATGTAGCTGGTAAGAGATGAACGTCAACAGAATCTTCTTCTTGGTTGATCTCTGTGTTGGCTAAGATCATTGCAACTCCTCCTGCTTCTTTTATCGCTTCTCCTTTCTCAGATCTTCCATTGACTCCGCGATCACAAATCACCATTTTGCCTCGGATTTCCTCGCTTGGAAGTGACCCTCTCAAACAGAACTCACTTCCTTTATCTCCTCCTGTGACGTAAATCACCTCAACCTCTCTCTCAGCATTCTTTAAACCTTTCCCGGGATACAAAGACTCTCCATAGAGAAGCTTTCCGTTGGCTAATCGGACCACAGCGGGAAATCTTCGATCAAGCGTGCCTGCACCAATGGTTGAGACCCAAGGAGCTGTGTTTGCAACAGAGCTTTCTATTGGACCGTTGTTACCAGCTGCACAGATTACAGATATACCACGTTCCATGGCTCGGAATGTTCCAATGGCGATTGTGTCATCATACAAAGGAATCGGGAAACCGCCAAGGGAAAGAGAAAGAACGTCTACTTTATCTTGAATCGCTACATCTATAGCTGCTAGAATGTCAGAGCTGTAACAACCATTGAACCAACAGACTTTATAGACTGCAATGTGAGCTCCAGGAGCCATCCCACGAGCCACACCAGCTCCATTGCCAAGAACATTCGCCATCGAAACAGAGGATCCACCAACTGTTGAAGCGGTATGAGTCCCGTGTCCCGTTGAATCTCTTGCGGAAATGTATTCACGGGGCATGTTTGGTGATTCCTCTGGTGAATTAGCTACACGGTGTCCTCTGATGAAGAATCTAGCACCGATTAGCTTCCGGTTACAGCTCGAGGAACTGAAATTCTCTCCTTCTTGGCAAATCCCTTTCCATTTCCGTGGAATCGAAGGCATTCCGGTATCGTCAAAGCTAGGACTTTCAGGCCAAACTCCAGTATCAAGCACGCCGATAATTGTGCCTTGACCAAACCGAGATTTAGACCATACACTCGAGTTTCCAAAACCGTCGAGTCCCAAGAACTTGTAAGAGTAAGTGGTTTGAACCTGAAGAACATGGTCAGGTCTCACTGCAACAACTTCAGGTGAATATCTCAGCATCTGGGCTTCTGACTCAGTCAACTGAGCAGCAAATCCTTCAATCGCAGAGCCATAGGAGTAGAGAAGTCGTGAAGAAGGCTCTTCCTCTTCTTCTTCAACACCCAAAACCGCTTCTTGGAGAAAAGAAAGATGCCAATCAAACTTTGAGGCAAATGTTTTAGCGGTTTCGGTATTAGGATGAAGCTGAACAATGTAAGTCTGTTTCTGCAGGATTTCTGAGGAAGAAGAAGAAGAAGAAGAGAAGAGAAGAAAGGTAATGCAGAGTAGGAAGGATTTGGGTTCCATTGCAGAGAGCTCAAGAAATGATTTGGTTTAGTGTAGTTGAAGAGCATGGTTTTGGAGAAGAAGAAGAAAAGGGTATTTAAAGAAGAGTGAAGAGAATTCAAAACCTGGGATTTGGAGTCTAAGGAAGAAGATGATGAAGCTCGTGAAGAGTAAGAGCTCTGCATCACGAGTATCCTTTGTATGTCGCAGAGGTAGGAGCTTCTTCTCTTTTGTTTTTTCAAAGACATGAACTATATTAAGTGAAGCTGTTTAAGGTTTTCTACTTGTAAGGCTTTTTTGTTTGCCTTTGTCTCTGTGTCTCTGTTTTTTTTCTTTCCTTGTTCACGAGATGTTATTGTTAGCTATTATTGCGTATTCTAGTTTGTGTAGCCTTTTTGAGCAACAAAAGATTTTGAAATTTTATTTGGTTTCCGTTGAAATTTGACCCAACCAATGAAAATTTATTTAAACAATAGCTTCAACGATTGGCCAATATATGTATTTTTAGTTAAAGCCTTGAGTAAACAAAATACGACCGTTAAGAAAGAAATTAAATGCAGAAGCGTGGTGAGTGTTCGTTCACTATGTGCATTTATACACGCACGCTCCACACGCCTCGTTTTGTCATTGGGTACTACGTCACAATACGACGTCGTGCAGCTATTGTTATTGGGCTCTATATGACACTTATAAGCCCAGTACTGATTACACTTATAAGCCCAGTACTGATTACACTTGAGGGATGATAACGAACGATGGATTTTATTAGTTACTATTCTCTAATCTTTCTTTGTTTTTGCAGATTATTTGATAACATGAAAACCAAAGAAGCTAACTGTTCCATACAAAAAAGGTTTCTCCCAATGTTCGAAAGAAGAGATTTAAACCCAAGCGTGGAGATTTTGCATCCTTTCATGCTTTTTCTTTTCGTTAACCCTGTGGAAAACTCTCTCTTACTTAGACCTTAAGCTTTTGTCACATTTCAGTTCTTTTATATATCCTCTTGAGAAACCCCCACTAAACTGAATTTTAACATGGATGATCATAATTCAGGGATTCCAGTAGATCTTGAAGAGTATTCTGTTACCAGTTTCAAGAACATTGATGATTTGTCTTCTAAAAGTCGTGCAGGAGTATCAAACTCTGCTACTCTACCTGCAACAAACCATAACATAAACATTGAATTCTCCCAAAATACAGGGTAATATGAAGAAAGATCCATGTTTTTGGTTTGTATGTGACTAACCGTCGCTGAGAACCAAAACTAGGTCACTGTCGATAACAGTTGGTATCCGGTGAGCAATGGTGCAGACCGTGCAGTCTTCAAACTCGGTTCTGATTATCTTCTGGATCAGATTGTCCGTTGCTGTGTCAACCGATGCTGTTGCTTCATCAAGAACAAGTATTTTTGCTTGTTTCAGTAATGCTCGTCCTAGTGACACAAGCTGTCTCTGCCCAACACTCCAGTTATCTCCATTTTCCAGCACTGCTCGGTTTTGAGCCCAAAAATCAGTAGAAAGAAGCAAAAAGACCGGGAAAAAAGAGAGGACTTTTGATGCAAATAGTTACCTGGAGAGTCAAGTTTTAGGTCTTTTCCTCTAACAACGTCTCCAAGCTGGGATTTATCGAGGGCCTGTAAGAAAAGTTGAGGAAATCTCTAGAATCAAACTCCAATTCCCAGACTTTAGTATCTAAAACATAAACAAGATAGAGTATGAAACGAAATTAATATATACCTCCCAGATTTTATCATCTGAATGTTCTTCAAGGGGGTCAAGATTTGCTCGGATTGTTCCTTCAAATAATGTAGGATCTTGAGGTATAATACCAAGGCGACTACGGAGATCATGAAGACCAATTTGAGAAATGTCAATGTTGTCTATAGTAATTTTTCCAGCAGTTGGCTCAATCAATCGAAACAAAGCTTGAATCAAAGTTGACTTTCCGCTTCCCGTTCGCCCAACAATTCCAATCTTTTTTCCACCAGGAAACACACAGCTTACCCCATGGAGTACTGTTGGAAGATTCTCAGCATAACGAACCTTCGAAAAGAACGAAGCAATAAGAAAACAGGGAAAGAAAGTGCAGAGAGGTAATATAAATAGTATTTTTGAATAAGTACCTTAACATCAAGTAGCTCAATTGTTCCCGTTTCAGGCCACGAGGAAGGCGGGCGGAAATCTTCGATAATTGCTGGGGCCTCTCCTACAATCTGACTGTACTGATAAATCCTTTCGATTGAGATTATTTTGTTTTCAAGCTTACAAAAGCTAAGTATCCATCGTGATAGACGTCCATTCAAGTTAAGCCCATATGTCACAGCAAGACCTGCCATGCCTATTACAACAGAAACATCAATATTAGAAAAACCGGCTGCTCGTTGATGTTTTTTTGTCAAAGGAACTAGAGATACTTACTTGGATCAATGGTTCCATGTGGAAAACTGACAAGTAAAACCATACAGAAAGCAAATACAAGTGTGGAAAGTAATTCCATGCGTAAACAAAGCCATTCGATAGCAGCGATACTGCAGAAGAAAGGTCGAACAAAACAATCGAGAAGATAAAGATTCCTTTTGATAAATCTTTTTTCCTGGCCAAATCCTCTTATTGTGGCAGCACCAGCGATTGATTCTCCAAAAAGATGAATTATTGGAGACTTCTGGATACTAACAATCCGAACCAGTTCTCTTGAAGAAGCCATGTAATATTTCTGCATTTGATTTTAATACCAGTTAAATTATAAAAGAAAAACTTTCAGAGTTCTTCAGAGGAAAAATCGAAAATAGATTTACCTGCATCCAAAAGCAAGCAACAGCTACCGGAACAACAAGAAGGAAAACTTGCCAGGTAACATTGGTCATTACAGCGACAATCCCAAAGAGTTGTATCGTTGTTGAAGCAAACCCACCGAGTCTAAAAGGAATGTCAAGATCCACAACACTTTGATCAATAGAAACCTGCACACCAATAAAATCCCCAAAATCAGAAAAGTAATACAGACACCATGGATTTTGGTTATAATACCACATCTACATACCCGATTCAAAATTCTTCCTGCAGGAGTGGAATCAAAGAATGACATTGGCGCTCGGAACACACTTCTGAGCATATTCAAGAACAGTTTCTGTGCAGCTGCAAGACCGAAAGTTGCAACCAGAGCGGCTCGAACAAAGATGAACACAGAGCTCCCAAAAGCTAAAGCCGTATATACGATGAGAAGCAGTGTAGGATCCACTTTAGACTGGTCACCTTCAGTTTGAGGATTCGCCCAAGCCATCCACCAATTACTAGCAATCTGAAGAAATTGGAAAGAAGCTTGTGCGAGTATAATAAGAGGAATCAGAAGCCCTTTATATGCAGCACCCATGTATGACAAGTACACCTTCATGCTGACTTTTCCCTTTACTCGTTCCTCTTCTTGAACAAGCTGCTTTTTGCGGGAGCGCTTAGCTTTCTTCTTCTTCTCTTTGATTGCCTTTAGATCTGAAGCAGATCCTCCCTCTTGTACTTCCTTTGCCAAAGTCTCAATGTCATTTTCAAAAACATCTGACTTTGGATTATGCAAGACCAAAATATCGCGAATAGGATTTTCATCAGAGTCTTCTGAGGACGGACTTGGGATGTCCATGGCCTCGATTGCTTCATGGTGGGCAGACACTAAGGCCTTAAAATCAGTACCTGCTTGTAGCAGATCATCATATTTACCCGATTGAATAATCCTGCCTTCCTTCAGAACCTTTGAACAACACAAATTAACATTTTCAGAGATTGTCATAAGGGAAATAGTTTGAATACTCCTTCAACAGTTTTACCTTTCTGCTACAATAGAGATAAGTTCATCACAGCTGGTAAGCTAAACACCTATAAGAGACCCTTTAGCAATTCTAAAAGGACCAACAGTAGCCAGAATTAATACATAGTAAAACCAAGAAAAAGATTTTCTTACCAATATTAGATCAGCTGCAGGGAGAAACTCAACTTGATGCGTCACAAAAACCACAGTTTTCTCAGCCAATGCAGATAGAATATAATCCTGTACAGCCATTATTAATAACCACGTTACGCAACCATTCAAACTCAAAATATGAAAACATGACTTGAGGTTATACAATAGCTTCTTACCCTAAACAAATCAGAGCCAGTGTGTGCATCAAGAGCACTAAAAGGGTCGTCTAGTAAATAAATGTCAGCATCTTGATATAATGCCCTTGCAAGTTGGACACGCTGTTTCTGGCCACCACTGAGATTTATACCTCTCTCTCCGATAATCGTTTGGTCCCCATGTGAGAAAAGCTCTAAATCTTTCTTTAGGGAACATGCTTGTATCACATTCTTGTACTTTGTTTTCTCCATTGGACTGCCAAACAGAATGTTTTCTTCAATGTTACCAGACTGAATCCAAGCCGATTGAGACACATAACCAGTAGTACCACATATTCTAACCTACAGAACAATTATCAGCAGGTGGATCAATGATAGCTGAGAGAATATAAGAAAAGAATAAAACCAGTCAAGCAATTGAGACAAACACCACAAAACATTAACTTACTTCACCAGAGATTTTTGGGATTTCCCCGAGGATGCAAGAGATAAAACTTGATTTTCCAGAGCCAACTGTGCCACAGACAGCCACACGCATACCCTTCTCCACTTTCATCTGAATCCCTAATAATGTCGGCCTTGAAGAAAAAGGGTCCCAACAAAACACACCATCTTTAATCTCTATGGCTATATTCGAAAGTCCCCGCGGAATTACAATAGTTGCATCTTCCTGAAGCTCTTCCTCCTGCAAGAACCCGGAAATCCTATCAAGAGAAACCTTTGTCTGAGCCATCATTGATACCAGATCAGGAAAGTTCCGAAGTGGCTCCTGAAGGATTCTGAATGTCGCCAGAGCAGAAAGAACACCTCCAGCGGTAAGTTGAGTGCCTAGGAATATCGAAGTAGCGAATGTAACTGCGGCGACAAAGATCGGGGAACTCCAAAAGATGAAAGTAACAAAAGCCTGGGAATATAAGGCTTTGCGAAGCCAACCATACTCCTCTTCCCTCATTTCTTCCAATCTCACTCTATAACGATCTTCCCATGCCTGCAATTTCAGAACTCTCATGTTCCTAAGACACTCTGAGGTTTTCCTCATTCTTTCATCTTTTGCAGTCATCAACTTATCTTGATAGTCTTCCTGGACCTTAGCCAATGGAATCGTGACAAGAATCGAGATTATTGTAGCAACCAATGTAGCTACAGAAGCTATCCCCACGCTTTTATATAGGATTGCAAGAGCAAGAACTATTTGCATAGGAAGCATCCAAATATCATGAAGATACCATGAGTAATCTCCTATGCGCTGGACATCGACTGCCATGTAGTTTACAATTTCACCGCTCGTGTGGTTCTGCTTGGCTATACTCGAAAGTTTGAGACCTTTTCGGTATACCATCGCTGTAAGAGCTGATCTTACATGCATCCCTAAGATATCAACACCCATATACCATTGGCGGGTGGTGACTGTCTCTATAAGCTTGGAAGTAAAGAATATACCAGCGAGAACATATCCTTCATGAGGGAAAATCTCCTTCCCTCCAAGATAATCAACAAAGTAGCTGATCAAGTAAGGACCGACATAGGACACAAGAGTATTCAACCCAGCAAAGACCGCATTGCAAGCTGCTTCTTTCCAAAAGGATTTCAGAATTGCACGAGCTAAAGAAGGAGGCTTTGAAGGATTCTCGGATTTTGACCTCTTCCAATTCGACTTCAAGACCTTGTAACTTGATTTGGCTCTATCTCTTGGAGCAAGAAGCGGTATATCTTTAAGCTCAAGCGGTCTTTTTGAACCGGCCGAGAGAAGTGGATCCAACCATGAAAGCGTAACTAGGCTAAGTAGTCCAGCAGTACTATATGGGGTAACTTTAAGACAAGCTGCCTCTTCTTCAACAAGCAAAGGCTCTTGAAGATCAGAAGAGCTTCGGGTAACTTGAATACCAGAAACGCCTCTCAACGCCACAAAGCAAAGAAACCCAAGAGCAGGTGTAACAGCTAAATTGGCGACAACATGAGAAGAACATCCGCTCCAACCTTCAATGGCTAACCTTCTTCCATCCACATACATAGTACACAGACAAATCGAAAACGACAAGAACCACCATATCCTCACCAAGAAGGGTAGCTTCTCTGAAGACTTGTATTTCAAATGAAGAACTAAAAAGCTAAGGACAAACCAAGCTAAACTCTGAGCAGCTGGAAAGCAGAGAACAAACCAGTCACTGACTTCTCTTATAACCTTAATCCCATCGAAACCTAACACCAAAACTTGCACGCCTAACACATATAAGCAACAGAGCAAAGACAGTTTAAACCCAAACCCAACACTAACATGGTTAGCCTCTCTTTCCAAGCTAACATTAGAAGCTGAAACCGTATCGTCCTTAGAGATTCTATCTCTGCCTCTTCTCACGCAGACGAGAATCTGCCTCGCAGAGACAGCAAATAGAAACACCAGAAAAAGTATGAGGTTGATGAAGACCGAAGAGAGTTCCAATAGTGGTAAATGCTCTCGAAAGATCAACGAGATCTCATTAAAATCCATGATCGAAAAGATTTGTGAGAGAGTTTGTTTAAAATCAACAACCGGCGGAGTCTTCGAGATAAAACAAGCATCTCACCACATCCCAAAACTCGTAGCTGCAGAAACAAGAAAAAAAAAAAAACAAAAACAAAAGAGAGGCGATGAATCTTATATTCAAAGTGGGATTGACACATTGCAAATCAACACAAATTGAGTTTCTCTGCATGACCCAACACGTAGAAGCGATCACAGAGATACAACAATACAAACAACAAACAAACAAAAAGGAGGAAACTTTGGCTCTCACCAGCTTTTGATAGATCAAAGAGAGAGAGAGAGAGAAGAAACAAATCAGCTGAAACCAGACGTCACTTGGGTTCTTGAGAGCAATCGAGAATCCGTAAGAGAGACACGAAGAAGCAGAGAAGATCTCTCTTCTCTTAAATTAAAATCAAAAGAGATAATCTTTTCTTCTGTTTCTCTCTAATCTCTCATTTGCCAAAGAAAAAAATGCAAAATTTATTGGTTCGATCGAATAAAGATTGTGCAAAATAGTGGAAGAAGATTGGGAATTTAATAAAGGTGGTTCCTTTTGGGCCTTTTTGGATGCTTTTTCGTGGACTTACTGTATTGCTTAGTGTGCTGTGCTAATAAAGCCGTAAGCTTTTTGTGCGCTCACGATGCTTGACGTCGATGCGTCAATGTGTCTGTGTGTGTGTGATCTGACTTTTTTGGTTTTGCATTTTTCAATTGTCTTTATGATCAAATTATTGTGTTATTCAATTAAAGCGCTTATGATTTAAACTTACTTAACCATAGTAAGCAATGAATCATATTCCCCTTTTTACGTTTTTATTCGCTCGAATATTATTCATATTCTTTTATATGGAAATTGCCTAACATAATTCAAACAAAAAAAGTAGATTTTTGTTTCTGAAATGGGTGGATCTAACATTTTGCTAATCTAAGCTGTGTCTAATTAATTGTGGGATACAATGGAGAGGAACCTTATACGGTCCATGGAATATTCTTGCTACACCTGACCTGAAGTATTAGCAAACTATATATATAGGTGTCGGTATTTTACAAAATATAAGATGACTTAGCTTATCAATTTATATGGATTCCGTGCGGTACATACGTATACACACATTCAGCTTTTTTTATTCATTTGTAGAAGGTGAAGACATATACGTTATCGTTTCAATATATATATATATATATAAGAAAGAAAACCAATCTAACATCTCTGCACCAAACAATGAGACAAATGTGTCAACTTGAAGTAAAATAATAAGAATAACGTAAGCGTACGAAAATGGCTTTTATATGTAGTCCAAAGATCCAAACCAATACGAATTTTAATCATAAATTCAAACGTTGAAACACACATTTTTTTAAATATATATCCACCAAATTTTTCGTATACTATAATATGATAACATTCACTCTTTGCTCAAGTGAGAGTGTGAGACTTATTCAGATGAAATGGTGGACCTTAGTTAGAATATAAACTAATATTGTGGTGCAAACAATACGCAACTATAAGACCAAAGATTTACAATAAATGTTTTTTTTTTTTTAATTTCTTGCCAGTATATATGTTTGTTTGTTTGTTACTTTGTTTGTTTAGACAACATCCGATGTGCGGATGACGACTTACTACACATGCCATTCATGCAAGGTAATGCCTCTTACGTGGCATACCATTTTTCTAATACATATGCTTAATGTCAATTATTGCTGACTCAGTACAAAAAAAAATGTGTACGTTAATATGTCCTTTATTAATATACTCCCTCCGTTTCGTTTTAATTGTCGTTTAAGGTTTTTTCACACAAATTAAGAAAAGCATTAAATTTTTTGTTTTATCCTTTATTAATATATTTTATAAAAATTTCATTGGTCAAAACATTAAAACAGTAGGGATAAAACTGTAATTTTCACCAAATATTTGCATTGAAAACCTAAAACGACAACTATTATGAAACAAAATTTAAATCCTAAAACTACAACTAAATTAAAACAGAGGGAGTATTACTTTTGGTTACACACGGTACGTTAACACATTTCTAGTTCGCAATGGGGATTATACGTTCTTCTGCATATACTTTTTTCAAATATATAGAATGATTTTTTCACAAGGTTTCACGAATAATAAACATTAATTTCAACTATATATAATGGATGTTATTAACTTGTAAGCAATAAGAAGATGATGTAACAATCTAGAAGCCATGATAGTGTGTTATAGTTTTTAAACAGAAATAATGACACTTTTAGATATAGTTGTTAATGTTGAATAGTTTTGTCATTTGCGTTTGTTTGGTATAGTATTGGCTTTGTTCAAACCTTTTTGGGTACTACTTTCAGTCCATGCCAGCTCACTTTCCATTATCTTTCGTTTGTTATTTCTTTATGCATACAAACAAATTTCAAAAAGTTAGCTTTTTTTAGATGAAAAAAATAGTATATATGTTGCTCAATTCGTGAACACTGTATATGAATTGAACCAAATGTCGCTTACGTACGCAAATTGCTCAATTGAGGATAAACAACAACAAAAAGATAGTGGAACATGCGATCTTCTTTAAGTTCAAACCCTGTGTCACGTGGATAGAATGATAGTGGTACGTGGTCCTCTAACAAAAGAAACTAATCATAGGGTAATATACCTAACACATTTTCTCTCACATGTTCCCCTTTTTTTTTAGGTGGTGACATATGACCTAAGAAGCCTTTGTATTGTGCTTAAACTCTGACACTGCCTGGAATGTTAACAGAGCTAATCGCGAGTTATAAACACTCAGTCGTTGCAAGTCTTATATATATCAATCTATTATTGTGTATTGATGATTTAATAAACCAATCCAAGACAATTTAATTCCTATCTCGCTATTTGGTAGAGTGATTGGTGAATGTGAATGTAATAGTAAATGCTGTTCCAGATTTCATTACTGTACGGGCCAAGTTTAGGCCGGTTGAATGGCCCACCACCTTAGAAAGTTCTATCACTTGTCGTTTTCTTCGTCACCGACCTTTTACATTGTCCCCGCTCACACCTTTATTGGAGACGGGATCTCACTGGATGGATTTTATTCGACGTAAAGAAATTCCTTTGTAAGCGCATAAAACTCATTTGTCTAAAATTTGGTACTATTTGGGCCCATAATGATCTAATACACAATCTAGGCCCACGAAGGCCATTGAGGTCGAACCGGGATGATAGAATTAAACCGGTATTCGGTTAACAATATGAAATAACCGGTCTCTCTTCCTCTCTCCCTCCAAAGAACGAGAAGCTTCTTTTTCTTCTTCTGCTTCCCAGCTTCAGTCTTCTAGGTTAATCGAATCTTCGAGTGTTTTGCTTTCTATCTTTCTTCTGCGAATCAATGGCGCTATGGATGGACGCTGGAGCGACGCCGATCACGGAGAACGAAAAGGCTGATCTTGAAGCTATTTCTGCTCTCAAAGAATCCGCCGCCATCGAATTCAAAGTACTCTCTCCCTCTCTTCTCTCCAAATTGTAGTTTGATTTTGTTGTAGTATTCGATTTTGCTGTTTAAACACAGGAACAGGGCAATGACTGTGTAAGGAAAGGGAAAAAGCATTACTCCGAGGCGATTGATTGTTACACGAAAGCCATTAATCAGGGAGTTCTAAGTGACTCAGAGACCTCAATTTTGTTCTCGAATCGATCCCATGTTAATCTACTCTTAGGCAACTATCGGCGTGCCCTCACGGATGCTGAGGAATCAATGAGGTTATGTCCTCATAACGTTAAGGTAAACCACCAAAAACATTTCTCTTTGATTTCGTTGTTGGTTGTTTTATCTGACGGGTTTCCAATGCTTCAAAAGGCGGTGTATCGAGCTGCTAAGGCATCAATGTCATTGGATTTGCTGAACGAAGCAAAGTCTTATTGCGAAAAGGGAATCGAGAATGATCCAAGTAATGAGGACATGAAGAAGCTTTTAAAACTGGTGAATTCAAAGAAGCAAGAGAAAGAACAACATGAGGCTCAAGTCTCAAGGGCTGTGGTTGAAGCCAAGGTTTGATTTACTTGAAGAACAAACTTTAATACATCACAAGCCATATAAACTTTATCTGATTCGGTTTCCCATGGTTTTGCTGCAGGCTTGTCTCTCTGCGATCGAGAACAGAGGAGTGAAGATTGGCAAAGCAATGTACCGAGAACTCACAGGTCTGAAGAAGCCAATGTTAGATAAAAACAACATTCTTCATTGGCCTGTCCTGCTTCTTTACGCTGAGGCCATGACAAGTGACTTTGTCGAGGACTTTTGTGAAACAGACATGTTTGCAACTCATCTTGATATGATATCCTTTTTCCAGTTTCCATTTCAATCTCTTTTCTTATTCTTGCATCTCATTTCGATAACCTCTGTTCGATACATTTTATGTCCTTCCTTAGCGCTCTAAACATGTTTTCAGAGGACAGCCCGCCGCTGCCATGGGATAAAAACAACGAATACTCGCGGGATGTTATCGAGCTTTACTACGAGGTAATCAGTTCCTCCTCCACCCATATATCATTCCTCTAAAACAAACTCTACTCTTGTTTTAGGTTTTCCTCATTTCCTGCGCCGCTATATAACAATTGTATTTGCAGTCAAAATGTTTCAGCTTAGCCATTCTCTGTTTAAATGTCCACATCTCAGATTCTTACATATGCTTCTGTTTTAAAAACTGCGATTTCCAAGAGAGTCTGTTTTTTTTTTTGTATTGATGATTTAATTAAACATCTCCGTTGCAAAGTGACAAACTCTTTACACTAAAGTGTGTTGTTATATGAAGCACTTGTAGTAACATCAGGGATTTTTCTCTTCTATAGGCGAGTTCAGGAACTCCATTGCCTAGGAGTAGAGTTCTCCAGTATCTTCTAGAAAGTACAAAAGGTTCTCAAGCTGAAACTACCGGTGAAGAGGACACAAGTGTAACCAAAACACCCTCCTACAGTAAGAATACTCAACTTGTGATATTATATGCACTTTGCATTGCCAATCTTTCTATATAACATACATCCCTTGAATTTGGGCAAAAGTGAAAGGTTCTTCGGGTATGGTTAAAGTGAACGAGAGAAGAACATTGCATGACGTGTTGAAAGAACCTAAGTTTGTCATCCCTGAGATTCCAGGTTTGTTTGTATTATCACATTTGTATCATTTTTCTACCAGTTGCTACCGACTTCGTTTGCATCTATTGATGTCTCTCCTTGTTTTTTGGGTTTTCGTTGGTTACAGTCTTCTACATCTTATCAAAGAGGTCTAAATTCTACAAGGACTTTATCGCTGGAAAATGGAGTCCACCAAATTAAAGAATTTAGTTCTAAAGAGAATGCTTACTGATAGATAACTTTGTTAATTGGCATAAGCTATTGTATCTGTTTTTAAGAAACAACCGATTATAAGATAATAACAGTTTCAGAAAATGTTACCGTTGGGCATATGGGTAACCCATTCGGGTTCGGGTAAACCCCGTTCGGGTTTGGGTTAAATGAGTAATGAATTTACGATCCATTCGGGTATTTCTAAACATTCGGTCCAGTTCGGGTATCATTGAGTTCGGGTTGGTTTGGGTAAAAAAAATTAGACCCGAAAAATATGGGTATCCGTTCGGTTCGG